ACATTAGCTTCATCGATTGCATGCTGCTTGGGCTGATCGGGGTCGTCGGCTTTCCTCGCGCGCGGTCGCTGGCCCTGATGGGCAGGGGGCACCTGATAAGGCTTCGGGCGCCGCCGTGCTCACTTCGCACCAGGGGAAGGTGCATGAGGCTAAAGAGGTGAATGGGGGAGGAGCGGGAGCTCTATCGCCCTCTCGTGCAGGCCGCTTCTAGAGGCGTTCGCTGGCCGATCTCATGGCTGGTTTCGTGACGTGCTTGTGCAATTGATCGATGCTACCCCTTGTCCTGATGGCACTCCGTTCTCGCGCTGCCGCTATGGGGGAGATGGAGCTAGTCAGATTCTCTATATGGCGTTTACCCATGTGTTCTGGGAGGAGAGGAGTTGCCGGAGGATTTCAATCGTTGCTGCGTGGTTTTCTGCCTAGAAGTATTCTCCCTAGTGAAGCTATGGATATTGCGCGCGCGCGCCTGCCACCGCTCGGCCGCTCTCGTTATCGGACACTTCGAACAAGTTGATCTCGCATGCCATCGGTTCGGGTCTCGCGCGCCAGACGCGACGCACTGTAGATTGGGTTCAGACGGGGTTCGTGGCTGGCAGGCAGATGGCTGACAATATCTGGAGGCATCGTCGTCTCTTACGTCGCGGGGAGATGTTGAGGGCAATCGTGGCTGTGGGGCCACCTTGGTGGACTTCGAGACGGCGCCCCCCAGCCTTGCCCAGTCTTGGATCTTCTGGGTGCTCTCGTTCATGGGGTTGCCTGCGTATATTATCCACACTATCCGTGCGCGCTACAAGACTATCCGTACCTCTGTTGTAAAATCTGGGGCTGTCTTCGTGGGCTTCGTCGTCCTCTCTGGGATTACGCGGGGCTGCCCGATGTCTGGATCGATGCTCGCACTTGCGCTAGATCGCGCGGTTCGCCGGATGAGTTTTCGTCTTCCTCGGCCGTTCATCAAGTGCTTCGCAGACGATGTGGCTCATGTATTGAGAGACATGTATCGCGCACTCCCTGCGCCTTTTCGGCGATTGAATCCTTGTGGGTATGCCGCTGGCCTTTGGATCAAGATATTGACAACTCGGATGTTATTCCTCAACTTTCCTCGCGCTCGAGCTCAGATCTGGGTGCGTCTCAGATGCGCTGGCCTGAGCGCCGCCAATCTCAAGTTTGTCTATATTCGCACATATCTTGGCATACGTATTGATGGCTTCGCTGAATCGTGAGCGTTGCCGCTTGAAAAAGTACTGCGGTCGATTATCTCTTTGTCGTAATATGAATGTTGGCTTCGCTCAGACTTTGACCAGCTACAATGTTCTGGCGATGAGCGTTCTCGCGCACATCGCGCAATTCTTTGCGCCACAGCTGCTGTGCGACGTTGTCAACGTGAAGAAAGGGCTCCAAGCGGTGATTGGATGGCCGCGCCGCTCTCTGCATCTTGATCTTCTTGATCGATTAAACGAGATTGGGTTTCCTGTGCAAGTTGTTGATATTGCTCGACATGCTGCGGCTGCTCAGTATCGGCTGGTGCCTTGAACGTGGGCGAGCTGGTGGGTGCCGTTGCCTCCGCGGGCAAGCGCTACGGAATGGAGTTGCGTTGGGGCAAGTTTCAGGTGCTCGCAGTTCAGTCGAAGGGCGAGATCTACGCCCCTGATGGCACTGCCCTCAAGCATGTGCAGCACCTACAATACCTTGGAGCACATCTGTCGGCAGACGCAGACATGGGCCACGAATTTGGCAGAAATATCGGAGAGGCCAAGGGGCATTTCGCAACGTCGCGAAAAGTCTGGTCGCATTCTTCCTTGACCAGACAACGAGAGCTGCGACTTTACACATCGATTGTGGAGTCTGATTATTATATGGGCTAGCAGGGTCGTGCCTGACAAAATCGCAGGTGCGGCGGTTGGGCGGCTTCCAGAACAGGTGTGTCCGGCAGTTCAGAGGCGTCCGATCTTCATGGGTTTCGCGCGTGCAGAACACAGACGCGCTGCGCCGTGCAGACCACGCCGCAGCGAGCCAGCAACTTCTACGCCGGCAGCTCCTGCTCTTCGGTCAAGTGCTACGCGCCGATCGAGGGCGCCCGCTGCAGACGTGCACGCTCGCTTCCGGCTCATTGACGCCGCAGGCAGATGCTACAACGAGGAGGGTTGGTAGGCCATGCAAGGAGTTTACCTGTGAGATGATGAAGCATTCTGCAAGCATTTTTGGTAGCACGGCAGCAGCCGAGGCTGCAGCGCAAACTTGCCAATGCGATCGTATTATACGCGCACTGTCTTAATTCCACGTGCACTCCTCCTCCTCCTCCTCCCCCTCCTCCTCCTGGTCGCCCCAGTGTGACCCACTTGCGCGCGTTTCCCGTTTGCGGTGCCCTGGGCCCCCCGCGCACGAGCACAGCTTTTCGTTGGTAGCCGACTGCAGCTGCCCGGCGTGCAGCCAAGGCCCAGGCTCTTCTTTAAGCCGGCGTTCATGCCCGCGCACCGCTTGGTGCATGGCTTGTCAGCCAGTCAGTCAGTCAGTAATTGGTTGGTTGCTCATGAGTACAATCCCAGGTTCACCAATAGCATGTTCTATCAATTGCATCATAACTGGAGGAAGCGAACTGCATCCCTCGTATGCCAGAGGGTTCTTGGTGCAAAGATTTGCAAAAGCGCGTTCTCGCTCAGTCGTGCATTCCTGAAGGCCCTGTGTCCTTTCATCTGCATCTGAGAATAGAGTATTGGATGAAGGGCCAACGCACTGATCGACAAGACCCGACGGTAATGTTTATTCGAATGCAAATGATTGCTGCTCAGATGCCCTGCTTCGCTGTCGCCGGTGTTCTCAAAACTGTATGCAATGCGTGGGCCGCCGCTGTCCGACGCCGTCAGCCGCTGGAGATATTCCGATCTGGATGCAAGGCCGGCGTTGCGACGCCATCCCATAGTTTTTTCTGCCCGCTCTTTGCCACTGTATTGTTTCATTTGCTGCCCTGTATTCCTGTCTCATCTTTCTTCGGTGACTTCAGGAAACGATTCTTGCCGCGCCTGTTTGAGTGGGGAACCCCCGAGGAGCTCAGTAGTATCGTCATTGGTGTCGAGCTCGCACACTCAGTGTATCATAGAATGCGCGCGTCTGAATCTTACAGCCCTGTCATTTTCCGTCTTTTGCATGCTCGTGCACGTCGGCTGTTGCGCCGTCGACGGTGTTTTGTCTCTGTCATTTCGAGCGTTCCGCTCGCCCCCGTTCGCTGCCGCTGCCTAGCCGATCGCGTGCTGTTTTAGTGGTCGTAGTGCTCACTGTGCGCCTCTGGTTCCCCATGTTCTTCCTGGTTTGAGCCTTTCCCAGGGGCGGAGTTGGGACTGCCTGTCTTCAACCATAGCTTGCCGCCCTGGGACGGACTTCTTGCCTTCGTCTCGCTTTTTGTCCGCTCGTACTCTTTTCGTTTTGCCCTCTTCTCGCCTCTTGCCCGCTTGCCCTCGCCCCGTCCCTTGTCTCCTACGCGAGTCCTGATCGCCGTCGCCATCATGCTCGTCATCATCATCGCCATCGTCGCCATCGTTCCCGTGATGACGTGGCCTGCATCGGGGGGCGCGCTCGCTGTCCGCGCTATGCTTGGCGTCCGCGTCGAGTCGCCCCTTCTCGATCTCGCCCTGCGGCCGGCCCCCGGGCGAGGCCCTGCGTCTGTTGCAGCAGGCCCTCGACGACGTGGCTGGCGCCAAGGCGTGGCTGGGCGGCTCTTTCCCGCTGCCAGCCTGTCGGCGACTCATCTCGCCCCTCGGCCCCCAGGGTGCCAGAGGCGCGTGCAGCTGGATTGAGCCCGCCGTCATCGCCACCACGGCGCGGGCATTGCAGCTCATTGAGGGCCAGACGGCCCTCGTGGCATTGATCCTCTTGGGTGGCCTCGAGCGCTGGCTTGGCGCCGAGGCGGCCGCGGAGGAGCGGCGAGCCGCAGATGGCCGCCGCCAGGCCTTCTTGGCGTGGGCGCGCAGGCAGATGGCCCTGGGCGCACGCGCGCTGCTCTGCTCTACCAAGCCACGCGGCTGGTGCCTGGAGCAGGTCAACTACGACGGCGCTCCAACGGCGTCACCGCAGGCGGTGGCCGAGCATCAGATGGAGGGGTGGGCCAATATCTGGAATGCCCACTCCCTCGCGGCTCCTGCCACTTGACATCTGCGGCGGCCGCCCTGAGCATCACGGACGATGTCAATCATGGAGACAGGGGGGAAAACGGACGCTTAAGGACACGAGAAAAACGGACGCTTAAGGGCACGGCGGCGGCGGCGGCAGCGGGGGCGGCGCGCCTCGCAGGCGGCCAGTTCGCGGACTCGGACGAGTTCCAGCAGCTGCTGGGCATCATGCGCGGCTGCGTGGGGCCCCTCCGGCCGCTGTCCGCACAGCGCCTGCGGGGCGCCGCGCGCGCCTTCCCGTGGCGAACTGGCTGGGGGCCCGACCAGCTGCACCCGCGCATGGTCTCACTTCTCAGCGACGAGGCCATCGCCTTCCTGGGGTACCTGCTCTACATGTGCGAACTTCGGGGCCGATGGCCCGCCGCCATGACGTCCACCCGCATACTACTTCTTCCCAAGGCCCTTCGCGGTTTCTGGCCGATTTCCCTGCTGACGGCATCGCACAGGGTTTGGGCGCGTGCCCGGCTGCTCGAAGTCCGGCGTTGGTTCTTGGACTACGGCGCGCGGGACTATTTGGTGCTGGGTCAGGGGCAGGCCGCAGACGACACGGCCTCCAGGGTGTTGCTTCGCGGTGAGGCTCATCCTGCTGGCGACGCGGACTCGGACGTCGTCGTTACGGCCCTCATTGATATCGAGAAGTGCTGCGACCGCCTCCGCTGGATGATGATTGTCCTTGCGGCGAGGGTGCGCCACTTCCCCATGGTCATCGTTCGTTCCGCCCTCGCCATGTACTTCGCGCCGCGCCGGCTCCAGTGGAGCTAGGCGCGCTCCAGGGCGGTCCAAGCTTGTTGCGGCGCCCTGCCGGGATGCGCGCTGGCCAGCGCACTGCTGCAGCTGGCGATGCTCGCGCCCATGGACGAGCTGATGCGCCTGGCCGCCCACCAGCCGCGGACGCCGGCCATCTGTGCTGATGAGTTGACGGTGCAGATCCGCGCGGCCCTGCGGGTCATCATGGGCGACTGACTTCTTGGAGCGGCTCGCCCTCGTCCTGCAGGAGGATCTGGAGCTGTCCATTGCGCGGCACAAGGCCCGGGTCACGTCTTCACGAATGCAGGTCGCGCGCGAGGTCGCTCGCCGCCTGCGGCGCCACGGATTCCGAGCCTGCCAGGCGTTGGAGGTCCTGGGCGTGGAGGCCCGCCCTGGTAGACCGCTCCGCTTCTCATCGCTGCGCAAGCGGGCCAGGCGGGTCCACGCCAGGCTGCCGCGTTTTCGACGACTTCGTGGCCTCGGCGCGCAGCTGGGCCGTCTGACGCGCGCCTCGCTTCCTGCAGCTCTCCAGTGCAGTCTGCCTGCCATGGGGGCCCCGCCGACCCTGGTCGCCATGATGCGGCGCATGCTCAGGCAGGGCTGGGGGCGGCTGGCAGCGGGTTCCTCGACTTGGCTGGCAGCCTGCTTGGAACCAGGGGCCCGCGCCGAGCCGCAGCTGGCGGCGTGGACGCAGCCCTTATTCAATTGGGCGCTGATGGCCGTGGACCCGAGGACTGACAGGTCGGACATGCAGCGATCGTGGCAGCTCCAGGCCCCCTCTGTCCTGCTGGCCCCCCGCCCCTTGCGCAAGGCCATGGGCCCTGCCTGCGCGGTATGCCTGGCGCTGAGAGACTTGGGCTGGGGCGCGTCCTTCGCCTTCGCCTGGCGCGCGGACGAGGGCGACGTGTTGGACCTACACGTCGCGGCCCCGTCCACGGTCCAGCAGCTGGCGAGACAGTCCGCCGCGCGCGCCATGTGGCGGCGCTGGGCTGCCACGCCCGACCCCGCGCCTGAGCTGGGCCCAGTGCGCTGGCAGCCGCAGGGCTACTGGCTGGAGCCGCTGGCGGCGCTGCTGCACAGGCCCACTACCCGCTGGAGGCTCACAGACTCGGGCGCCGGCGCCGTCCGGTCTCTCGTCGCGAGTGCCACCTGGTCCCAGGCTCGACTGCGCAGGTGCGGCTACGCGGCCGACGGGCTATGTCGACGATGCTGGGCCGCGCCCAGCACATCCGTTCACCGTTACTGGCCGTGCGAGCCGTGCCAGCCCGAGCGGGAGCTGGCCTTGGACGAGGCCTTGATCGACGGGCTGCCACACATCGTGCAGAACGATCCGCGCTGGGCGCGCCTGCTGGTTCCGCTGTCCTCGCTACCTGTTCCTCCTCCCCGTGACGACAGCGGCCGCTGGCGCGCGCTGCCGGCAGCCCCAGGCTTCATGGTCACCGGCCTCATCTACGCCGACGGCTCCTGCCTGAAGCATTGGAGCCGCCCGCAGGCCGCGAGAGCGGGCTGGGGTTTCGTCATCTTCGAGAACTTCCGGGCCGTCGGCGGTTACTACGGCGCTGGGCGGTCATTCAGGTCCTGCTAGTGGCCGTTCCGCACGGACCACCTGGAGGTTATCCTCGGCCTGGCGCGCGGGCGCGCGTGGGCACTTTGTCCCAGGCGCTCGAATCGCGATCTGTGGGTGCAGCTGTGGGCCAAGTTTGATGACCGCGGCGGCCTCTCCTCGAACGTGCGCATCGTTCACGTCCGTGGGCACCAGAGCGGCAACGACCAGCATCGGCATGGCAACGACTGGGCGGACGCGCTCGCTTGCTTGGGATCGGGGCTCCACTGCTTCACGGACCAGCAGAAGGCGGAGTCCAAGGTCCTCCTTCGACGCCCTCGTCAGACGGCCTGCTGGGTGGCAGCGGTGCGCGACGGCCTGATGTCTGGGACCTTGGCGCTGGATCGCGACCCACGGCCGCCGCGAGCACGAGGGCGGCGGACGCGCCAGCCGCGGCGACGCAGTGGTGAGCCATGCGCGACGCCCGCCTCTGCTCATGCTCCGTTTTTCGTTGCCTCGTGGTGGCGATGCGCCTGGTGCGCTAGAATAGCTCGCACGTTGGCTGGTCGCGCGCGCATGCTCCGCCAGACATGCAGGGGGGGGGGGGGCTCAAGGCGCGGGCCCAGGCGGCTCGGGGAGATGTGGTCGAGCGGGCCTCTGAGCTTCCTCCTCCTCCTCCTCCTCCGCGCCCCGCGGCCGCCCCAGCAGCCCTCGGCGCGGCCCTATATCAGGATGCCGGCATGTCGAGCCAGAGTTCGGCGGCCCCGGGCGGGGGGGAGGGTGCCCCAGTCGGTCTTTCTCCGCCCGAGGCTGCCCATGAACCTCGCCGAAAGCGAGTGCGTTTCGCCGGGGGCGTCGAGCCGGCGGAGTGCAGTCCGGCCGCGCCCACCGCCCCCCAGGCGATGGTGGCGGCCGCGGCGCTCATGACTGGAGCTGCGCTGACGGCTTCTGTGCCTTCCTCGTCCTCCGAGCCGTCGGCTGGATCCGCTTCTGGAGCTCTGGCGACGGATCCTGGCTCGGGTGGGGCCGGCGCGGATTTCCCTGGAGCTCCCGCGCCGTCGCGCGGTCAGAGGCGCCCTGCCTCTGCTCCTTCTGCCCGTGTCGCGCGGCCTCGGACTTCTGCGTCTTCGGGGTCGGCTGGATCGCCCCCTGGTGCTCTTGCGCTGGAGGCCCCTGGGTTCCGCTGGATCCCCACCGCCTGCGGTTGGCGGGTTCCCTGGAGCTCTCGCGCCCAGATCGGCCGCTGGCCGAGGCCTGCGGGTACGCCGGGGAGTGAGGCCCCCCGTCCAAAGAGGTCGAATTCGGCAACCCCACCTGCTGTGCCTCTCCCCCAGTCTGGCCTCGCGCCGCCTGAGGCATGCAGGGGGCGCAGACTGCGGGTCGCAGGCGAGTTCGTGGCGTGCACGGCGTGTGGATCCGATTCGCGAGGCGCGGCTCGTGGAGGCCTGCTGCTGCCTTGCGATCCAACCCAATTCCGTCGAGAGCCGAACAAGCGTGATCGTTTGAATCGGTTTTTGCGTGGCTTTCGCCCCGACGGCTCTAATGTCAGGATTCCTGTCCATCGCGCCCTCGTCGTTGGAATTGAGGCTCTGGCATGGCTATTGCTCGCGTGACCTGTTCGCGTTCGACTGTCATGTGTGTTGTCGCCTCCACTGAGGCGCGGAGAGGACGCCCTGGCCGCGATGCTCGTCTGAGTCGTTGGGCCGCCTCTTCGCTCGTTCTGCTCCTTCGACGCGCGCGGCGCTCGATCCGAGCTCGGTCCCGATCATCATTGCCATCGTCACCATCATCAGCAGCATCCCGTTCACACTCAGCATCATCACCATCATCATCAGCCCATCATCATCATCATCGTTATCATACCACCACCATCATTAGCATCACCATCACCATCACCGTCATCACCATTATCACTATCATCATCATCATCGCCATCATTAGTATCATCAGCATCACCGCCATCATCGCCATCATCATCATCACCATCAGCACCATCATCATCGTCATCCTCATCATCATCCTCGTCGTCATCACCGTCATCATCATCATTTTGGCTCAAGACGGCGCCCTGGCAGGACGGGCTTCCTCCGAGTCCTGGTCGAGCTGCCCGCCGACCTGAGACGCTGTTCTTTGCTCGGCCTGGCCCGAGCTCTCTGCGCTCTCATCGCGCCGCCCGAGTTTGGAGCGCGCATTTTGCTGCAGCCATGCTCGCGCCTGCGCCGCCGCCCCCCTCGGGGGTGGGCGCTGAGGGCCGACGGATCCGCCAGTGGACGGGCGAGCCCCCCGCCGTGGACCTGGGCGACGAGTTGACGGGCGCCGAGGCGGGCCCCGCTGCGGCTGGCGTCGGCGGCCTGGAGGCCCCTGCGGGAGGAGGCGCTCGCGCTCAGCTGCCGCCGCCCCCGCAGGATCCCTCGCAGATGGCGCTTGCCCAGTATATCATCAGTTCAGCGACCGCCAGCATGAGCGTGAAGGTGGACGCAGTTGAGGCCCATGTATCGTCGCTGAGGACCACGGTGGGCGCTAGCTCGGCCTCCATCTCTTCTATCAAGTCAGAGCAGCGGGCCCAGCGCGCGCGGCTCGACGCGCTGGAGGCTGCTTCGAGGGCTCCGTCGTCAAACGCCAGCACAGCCGCGGGTCACGGTGCTCCTCTGCGACCTGGTCTGGGAGCGGGACAAGCGTGCCAGGCCGACCCGTGGAGCGACTGCCTGCGTAGGGCCCCTGGTGACCAGAATCAGTTCGGGGCTCCCCAGACTCTTCGCGGCGGGAAGAATACGAAGCACGTGGTCTTCGTGGCTGGCTTCCCAGGCACATGGGGCAAGGGCGAGGTCGAGGCCCGCCTGAGATCGAAGTTGAGCGAGGGGGCGACGCTCGAGTCACAGGGCATCGCGGAGATCCACGGAGTAGGACGTTTCTGTGATCAGGCGAAGGTGGTCTTTAGCTGCAACCGTCAGGTGTGGAATTTCATGAAGGCATGGAAGGGCCGGAAGGTACCGTGCCAAGGAGCCGAGAACGACCAGCTGTGGCACAAGGTGGGCCAGGAGCCCCACGAGGTCGAGCTCTCGCGGCGAGTTTCCTACGCGGCGAGGCTGCTCAGAGAGTACGGCGAGGCCGAGAACCTCTGCAACGCGGACTCCAAGATGAGCACCTTCGATGGCGACTGGGACCGTGGCCAAGTGGTCTTCCGCCGCAACGGGAGTGAGAGACCGATCGGGATCCTGCAGCGATCTCGCACCACGGAATTGATGGAGATCTGATCCGAGCCGCTGGCCAAGGCTTTCTGGACCAGGAGCTGGCAGAGTTCAAACTTCCCGAGCGGCTCGGAGAAATCAACGACCCTCCCAGGCCACAGTGATTCAAGTCGAGGGGCCGCCGCTTCGCCAGGGACGTCAGGGACCTTGCAGTCCTGGGGTGGAATGTAAGAGGCGTCCGTGGAGCTAGGAGGCGGCAACAGCTCCTCGATGACCTGCGCGCAGAATGTGATGTACGTGTTATCCTTTTACAAGAATGGTGCGTGGCTGGTTGGCCCGGGCAGCTCTTCGATGGCTATGTCGTTCATGTGTCGCCTCCAGCGGGGGCCTGGCAGAGATGCGCGATTGCGATCCACGAGTCTTTGGTTCCATCCATCGTGAGCCCCCCCCCCAGCTTCCACACTCGCACCATGCCCCTGGACTTGCAGCTGCCTGTCTGGGGACGTGTTCGGCTGATTACTAGCCATCAATTCTCGCATATCGTTCGTTGTGAGCACGCTGAGACCATTGCGCAGCTCAGAGAGTGTCTGATTACAATGCCTATTGATTGCCACGCCATAGTCAGCGCTGACGCCCAGGATGACCTGGGGATTGGAGACGGAGAGACGGTCGGCCAACACTCGGCTACCAAGATGACCTGGCGGGTCGAAATGCTGTTCGACTTGATGACTGAATTTGACTTGGTTGCTACCAACACCTTCTCTCGAGGACAGTGGGGACAGGCTACATGCTATTACGACAACCGAAAGGAGCCAGGCCAGATCGACTTCATGTTGTGCCACCGCGACTGGCTCACCTCAGCGACGTGCCAGGCCCGCTTCACGGATGCCGAGCAGAGCGATCATCTCCCTTTGCTGCTACGCTGCCATGCGTCAGAGGCCATCCCGACGATCACCGAACCCGAGAAGGCCCTCGAGGACGCTGACCTGATGGAACGGCCGCCGCGCAAGCCCGTTGCTTGGCAATTAGAGGGCGCCCATTTATTCAATGAGACGGTATGCTCGACTCTGCGGGCACCGTACTTTCCGACCGCGATGGATGGCTTCACCGAGGGCGACTTCGCGAACGCGCTGGGCATCTTCACGGACGGCTCGGCGCGGGGGCGACGGCGCGGACAGCGCCAGGCTGCTAGCGCAGGCTGGGGCTTCGCCGTCTACCGCACCACTGCGCCGCACGACCAAGACGAGCCGATGGTCGAGGCGTGCGGCCCTGTGGTCGCCAACCACCTGGACCCCCGCTTCCTGGGCGCCTGTGCCCTCACGGCGAACGCGGGCGAGCTCTCGGCGATCGTGGAGGCGCTCTTGCGGTTGCTGGGTCAGCGCGGCTCCCTGGAGCCGACGGCCCAGGACGGCAGGCTCATCCAGATCGTCGCCGACTCGACGTGCGTCCAGGGACTCCTCGCTGAAGTTTTTCAGCCACGAGAGAAACGCCCCCTTGGCGATCCTGGCCGTGCACCTGTGAAAGCGGGCCGCCTCGCACTTTGATGTGCACATCCGATGGGTCAAGGGCCATGGCGGCAATCTGGGCAACGAGAAGGCGGACTTCCGGGCGAAACGGGGTGCGGACAAGCGCTTCGGCACCGCCCACTGGAGACGGCCCTGCCCTGCCCATGATTGGGGGGCCGAAGAGTACCGACGACGAGTTAGTGAACATAAGCTGGCCGAGACTAGAGCGCGCAAGCGGTGCTGCTGTCAGATAGCCAGGGAGGATGGCGGCGAAACCTTCGCGCAGCTCTTCAACCCGCAGCCGCGTCTGGCCGCGTGCTCCAGACAGGGCGCCCCGTCCATCTCCGCGCTGGCGTCGGCGGTCTCCGCTGGTGCAGCCGTGGCCGGCCACGCCCCTCGGCGCGGGCGTTGGCGGCCCCCGCAGGGGGGCCCTGAGCTCCTCCACCTGAAGCGCCTGGAGCAGCTGCGCGCGCAGGAGACGGACTTGCGTGTGCGGCACCTGCTGGGGCCTACGGTGGCCAAGGCCAAGCGTGCCCTGAGGGGCCGCTGCAACACGGCTCACCTGGAGCGCTTGTGCGCGAGGGGGCGGGCCGACAGACCATATCGCTCTGGCAAGCCTGTCTACGAGCTGAAGTCGGAAGAGGGACGGAGCGCCAGCCCCGTGCAGGCCCGCTGCGAGCTGACCCGCGCCTCCTACGCCGACCTGTTCGCTGACCCGACCAGCGACCAGGCCCTGCCCGCCTGGGCGCATTGCCAGTGGACAGCCGAGCACCAACAGGCGGAGGTCCCTCTCTCCCTCACTCTGCTCAAAACAGTCATCGGTCAATTGAAGAGTAGCAAATCGTGCGCCGAGTCTGACATGATTGTGGCAGAGATGATCCAGGGGTTCCAGGACGATGTGCTCGAACAGATCCTCGCTGCGTTTCGCCTGAGACTCTGCAACCATGCGAGCGAGTACTTCGACCAGGCCTGGGCGGAGCGCGTTGCCCAGTTGATCCGAAAGAAACCCGAGGCCCAGAAGGTGGCCGAGTTCAGACCCATCGCCCTGGTATCGGTGCTGCTGAAAATCCTGTCGATGATGGCCCTGGAGGTCCAACGCCCCATCTTGGAAGCTGATCGTTATGAGTGCCAGTTCGCGTTCCGTCGTAGCTACCACTCGCATGAGATTATATATAGCCTTCGCCATCTTGTTGAGAAGTTTTGTGAATACCGCGATCCACCCCTTGTTGTCGCCGGGGGGAGACATCCGCAAGCTTTATGACTATATTCGACGCCCCCTCCTGGCAAAACGTCTAGATGAGCATGGAGTGTCCCGTGTTGCTAGCAGTTTTTGGATTAGGGAGACCCGCAATTCTGCCGCTCGTATCCGTCTGCCTGGCAACCCCCTCACCAAGAGTGTCCGTCGGGAAAGGAGCCTGATCCAGGGGGGCCCCGCGGCGCCCGAGTTGAAAAACGTTTTTCTGGACGCGGGCCTACGCGAATTCCAAGACCTCTGCCGAAAAAATGGCTGGGGGCCCTGTCTCACGATGCCAGGAGAGGAGGATTTGATCCTAGGGATTTTAAGTTTTGCCGACAATTTCTGGATTTTAGCGCGTTCGGCCTCGATGGCCGCTGAAATGACCGAGGCCTGGCTCCGCATTTTGAACAAAAGCGGCCTGGAGGTTCCTGTCAACGAAATGGAGTGGTGCCATACGTATCCCACTTATATCGGCACGCTTCGCGTCAGAGGCACCTTGGCCCCCTGCCGCGAAAGAGCGGACGGTCTCAAGGTTCTAGGCACGTACATTGCTTTCGAGAGGAGCTGCACGGCGGAGGTAGGCAATATGATCCAACGTGCGTGGCGTACTTGGGCCGCACACAAGAATATGCTAGCTAATCCCAGAATTAGCCTCAGCAAGCGACTGAAAGCCCTAGACCGATGCGTCCGCCCCGCGCTCACTTATTGCATCGGGGGCCTGCATACGTCGGTCTCAGCGTTCAGCCGCCTCTCCAAATGTCACAATACTATGCTGAGGCGAATCGTTCGCCCACCTACAGCCGACACTGCCGCCGAACATATGAAGAATGCCATGTCCCAAGTAGCTGCCACCCGCATTAGATATGATATCGAGCCGTGGGCGCTAACTTGCAGACGCCTGTCCCATGCTTGGGCGTGCCACTTCCAGGGGATGGCACAGTCCAGCCCCGACCGCATAGCGTATCGTGTACCTAGATATCGGGATAGATCCTGGATGATTGCCATGCAACGCTCCTCGGGTTCCCAGCTGCACCACCGCACTGTAGGAATATGGCGCTGGGAAAGATATTTCTATAGTTTTTTTGGTTTCGACTGGTTCGCCAGACCATACTCTAAGCAGTCGTGGGTTGACGGACAGCGCGCGTGGCTTGAATGGCGCCAAAATTTGAGATACTCTAGGCTGCTGCCTAGTATGCAGATCAGCTCAGCAGCGTCGGGGCCAGGAGCCGCCATTGCAACACGCTTACGAAACGAAGCGAAACGAAACGTCATCATCATCATCACCACCACCCTGTCATCAGCATCATCATCATCACCGTCGTCGTCGTCGTCGTGGTCGTCGTCATCGTCGTCGTCGTCATCATCATCAGCAGCACCGCCATCGTTCGCATCATTACCATGTGGCGGCAGGCCCCCTGCAGCTTCACCTCCGCGGTCCCGCGCGCCGCGGCGGCCAGCGATGCAGCGGCGCCCCGGGCCAGGGCGCGGGCGCGGCGGGCCCTGGCGCGGCAGGCGGCGCACCGACACCGCGCCATGAGGCAAACGGGTCTTGAGGGAAACGGGTCGTGAGTATTTTCGCCGTTTTCGGCCTCCATGGGCCCTCCCCGGGCCCCGGGACTGTCAGAACGCTCAGGATGTAGAGCCGGTCCTGGGGGAAGGTCCAAGACACGTGGCCCTCAGGACCCGCTGGCTTCATGCCCAACACCGCGCCGACGCCTCTGGCCCTCGTGGTCGTTCACGCGCCGTCGCACGCGCCGCCGCTGCTGACGGCGGCGACGAGGGCGAGGGACGGGTCGAGTACTGGTGCGAGTACGGCGACGAGCGCGGCGGCGAGAACGGCGGTGACGCCGACGACGACGATGGCGGCGACGACGAGAGCGGGGGCCAGGACGACCACGACGCCGACGACAACGACGAACGGGGGGCGGCGGATTCGATGGCGCGACGGCTCCGACAGCGGCGGCTGCGGAAACGGCGGCCGCGCGAAGTTCGCGGGGCCAGCTGGAGGAAGTCACCAGCGACAGCCACATGATGGACACGCACGCGCCGCCCCCTAATCCTCCGTGAGTGATGATACTCAGACGTTGAATGCGCACGGCTCTAGGGCGAGGGCCACATTTGAAAACACCTCCCCTCCGTCCGTGTAACTGTTGCATGTGCACGGCTTTCAGGCGAATGTGCGCGGCGCCAAGGCGAGAGCCACACTTGGCCCCCCTCCCCCCTCCGTTCCCTCCCTTCCATCCTTTCATCCGTAAACTTGTTGTTAGTTTTTACAGCGAATGTGCGGGGCGCTCAGGCGCGACCCGGATTTTGTCAACGATGTGTAATCCATCAGGGTACTTGTTGCAAGTTTCATGCATCAGGGTCAAACGTGGTGGGAAAGTCTCGGGCGAAACGCTGGCCCCCCCTACAACTGCGTCTGTCGGTGCGACAGGGGTAGTTATCTTTCGGGGGAATTAGTGGACCTGGACCAGGACGAAGAAGAGGAGGAGGAGAAGGTGCAGGAGGAGTATTTGAATTCTTTGATGGTCCAGACGGGCCGAGCTACACCCACCGACCAAACGTCACCCTGAGGAGTGTCGACACCCTGCCTGGCACAACGCCCAACCACTACAACTTTCACATCGTCCAACCGTCAAGTTTCACATAGTCCATGGGCAATGGGAAGATATTGGTGGGACGGGCAAGAGATAAGATATGGCCGCGGGGGGTGGGGAGGGGGGAGGGAGGAGGAACAGGAGGAGGAGGAGGAGGAGGAGGAGGAGGAGGAGGAGGAGGAGGAGGAGGAGGGAGAGGAGGAGGAGGAGGACAGGAGGAGGAGGAGAGGAGGAGGAGGAGGAGGAGGAGGAGGAGGAGGAGGAGGAGGCGGAGGGAAGGAGGAAGGTGGAAGGAGGAGGAGGGAGGACGGAGGAGGAGGACGGAGGACGGAGGACGGGAGGAGGGGAGGAGGGAGGGAGGAGGGATGGAGGGAGGGCGGGAGACAGGGAAGGAGGGAGGGAGGGAGAGGAAGAGGAGGAGAGGGGAGGAGGAGAGGAGAGGAGGAGGGAGGAGGAGGAGGAGGAGGAGGAGGAGGAGGAGGAGAGGAGGAGGAGAGGAAGGAGGAGAGGATGGGAGGGAGGAGGAGGAGGAGGAGGAGGGGGGGAGGAGGAAATGGAGGAGGAGGAGGAAATGAAGGAGGAGAAGGAGGAGGGGGAGGGATAGGAGGAGGAGGAGGAGGAATAGGAGGAGGAGAGAGAGGAGAAAGGAGGAAGGAGGGCGGAGGGAGGAGCGGAGGGGGCGGAGGAGGAGAAGGAGTACTCATATTATTATTACTAATACTAGTAATAATAAGCTCGTACGAGGTCGCGTACTACTACTCAGAAGAAAAAGAAGAAGACTACTACGACGCATAACACTAATATTAATATTACTGACACTAGTAAACAGAAGGCGACTACGAACACTACCAGTAATCATACGATTACTAATACTAATCATAAAGCAGAAGACGAATGCGCATAATAGTGATACGTTTACGAGTTTGAATAATACGAAGCAGACTTCTACGATTATACACATAACAAGAATATCGAGCATACGACTAATACTTTTACGACTGATACTAATATTAAGAAGACTAATAGTATTAGTAATTGTAAGAACAAGGATACGACGACTACTACTACGACCTATGATACGAATATTAAGAAGACGACGGCTATGAATAACTACACATACTCATACTCATACTACGAACAATATGATGAAGACGGCCAATAACAGTAATCATAATACTGATACCACTACTGAGACTGATACGATTACTCACAGTACGCATAGTAATAATACTAAAACGAAGACGAATACGACACCTAAGCATAATACTAATACTCATGCGACTATTAACACTTCCAATAATGATAATACTCATACGAATAATAATAATAATGTGAAGAGGAGGAGTATTAACAAGACAAGCAGAAGACGTCAAAACGGTGGGCTATGGCTGGAGATTGCCGGTGAAACCGCTGGCGGACGTCTGCACAGCGTACGGCTCCAGCGAGAAAGGGCTGCTGAAGCTGGGCGAGCTTGCCAATCGGGCACAGGCAAAGAATGGAAACGAGAGGGCCGAGGAACGACGACGGCCGCGAGGCCAAACGGGAGCCCGCAGGGGGCGACAGAGTGCAGGCTGGAGCTGAGGAGCACCAACCCGAGGAGGAGGGGTTTGACCTGCGCTGAGGGGAGCTCTAGGTGAGGCGGCGAGGCAGGAGGCCAGCCTGCGAGCAGGAAGGCCGAGGAGGAGGGAGGTTACATGTCAGGCAGGGGCGCAAGTGCCTGTCCTGGGGTGCGACCGCCTTGAGGCAGCCCCCATTTCAGGTAGGGACGCAAGTGCCTGTCCTGGGGCTGGGGCCGCCCAGCTCGGGCGCCTCGCGCACACCGTGCGCGCGGGGAACCCGTCGCGCGTCGGGCGCGGCCCGATAGCGTGGCACTGAGTGGAACGTCCGAAACGCCTGAAGCGTCGTCGTCGTCGTCGTCGTCATCTTCCTCCTCTTCCTTTAAACGCTGCGCGAACTTACACCAGTCTGCTGTAGCGTTCGGTGGGGCGAAAATCGTGTGAAGATGCAGAATTCGGCCTAGAGGCCAACTGGTTAAGTCGGACAGGCGCAGCGGATCAAGATGGACGAGGGGGGCCAAGGTAAAGATGCCTGCCCGAAATGGCACGAAGCATACGGTTGTCAGACAACCTCCTCGTCCTCCTCCTTCCCTCCTCTTCCTCCTTCCCCCTCCTCCCTCCTCCTTCCCTCCTCCTTCCCTCCTCCCCCCTCCCCAGCCATGGAGCCAGCGGCGCCGCTCGCGGGCGCCGCCGGCGCGCCGTGGGACACGCTGCTGGACGGCATCGGGGGGGGAGGGGGCTCGCGGCCGCCCCGCTGCTCGCGGCCGTCCCCGCCGCCGCCGGAGCACCGGCTGGCCTGAGGAAAGAGGAGGGAGGAGGGAGGTGGATGATGAGCCACGCTCAGACAGGGTAGGGGAAGGGGTGGAGGTTTCTTGGAGACACCCCTGCTTTTCAGAAGGCGCGGGCCTTCACTATCCTTCTAAGGAGCCTTCCTCCCTCCCCCTACCCCATTGTGCGCGCCGCCGAAAGGAGGAGCAGGAGGCGAGAGGATGCAACGACAGTTCCAGGTCCCGTTGAGCGATTCGCCATCGCTGGCGGTTGGTGTTTTGAGGCTGGTGCCCTAGGAAGAATGAAGGGGGGGCGAAAGGACGATGGGGATCAGGAGGGAGGATGAGGGTCAGAAGTTGGAGGAGGAGGGGGACGACACGGATAAGGGCGATGGGGAGTAGTTTTGGAAGGGGGAGACGGATGGACGGAGGAGGAAGAGGAGGTGGAAGGAGGTGGACGAGGAGGAGCAAGAGGATGAGGGGGAGGCCCAGGACTGTTTCGCTTGCGCCCCGTCCTTCCGCCATGGACCGTGCTAGAGCCTGAGCGCGCGCGAAGCACGCGCGCGGCTCTTGTTCCAACTGGGGTGCGCACCTCGGCTCTCGCACCCTGTTGCTCCTTTACCGGGGCAGCGCCTTCTTGGCCCGCCCGACCCGCCCGTCAGGGCCCGGCCGCCCAGCCCGCTCATCAGCGTCCGCCCGTCGACCCGCCTGTGAGGGCCCGCCGGGCCGATGGCTTCGAAGTTGGCCCGCTTTCACACCCGCCCGCCCGTTGGGGTCCGCCAGCTCCGCCCGCCCGTCAGGGTCCTCTATCCCGACCCTCCTGCTAGGGTCCGCCGTCCAACCCGCCCACCAGGCCCATCCAGGCCGGCTGCATGCAAGCCATACGCCGCTCGCTGTAATGTCCCGCCTGCCGACCCGCACGTTAGAGTCCGCCTGCCCGACCCGCTTGTCTTGCCCTGTCGAGGCTCTTCTAGGAGCTAGCATGACAATAAGAAGCCACTCAGAGAGGACATGTTCACATACGAGCAGGATGGGAGTCGAGGGCTCGGGGTAGATCTGCTCACTGATACGCGAGCAAAGAACAGCGCACAGTCTTCAGTTGGTAATGTTGTTGCTGTTCTTATTATTTTGGTTGTTGACCGTCTACGCCCTCGCCGGGGTCCTCTCAGGGCGCCTCCTGCGGCCTCTTTTGCAGTGTCCGAGCCTTCATGGGCGAGATTTTTGAGAGGATCTTGAAAGCCAGCTTGGGCATCCTGCTGGGGCTCTCAGATACGTGCAGGAGGGAACTGGGACAGGGCCAATGCAGGCCCCAGGCAGTGGGGCAAGTCGACCCCCCTATGGGGGAAGGGTCTTGGGCGATCTGCTCGTGCCTCTAACCTGCGATGCGGAATCTTTCTGCGCATGACCCAGGGATTTAAAACATTCTAGGTCCATCGTCAGTGCAGTCGCCATCGTCACCATCGTACATGGTATCCGTGCATGCGTGCATTTCCGATGAAATCTTAGACTACGCCGTGTTGTGTGTTCGGTTGCGGCGTCTCCCCGTCGCCTACCCGATTTCCTCCTCTTTCCTACCCGTTCCACCCCCCTCCCCCGCTTGCCATGCCCTGTCTTCTTCCCGTCCTTGGTGGGGGGCGACTGGAGGTGGAGGAGGAGAAACAAGGAACATAACGAGGAGTCTGCGGAGGATGTGGAGACTGGTGTGGCGGATAAGGGAGGGGGAGGAGGGAGGAGGGAGGAGGGACGGGAGGAGGCCAGGAAGATTCGGAGGAGGAGAACGATCTGGAAGTTCGAAGAAGACGATGATTCCAACGACGAGCATGACGACGACAACGACGACAATGTGTTGCCACTGGCGATCCCAGCCTGCAGTCTTTTCTCGATGATGAGTTCGATTTGATGAAGCTGGGTAGTGACACTTTGGTGCGTATCCCTGGTTGAGGGCGCGATGGGAACAGATTGCTGGGAGAGAGAGAGAGAGAGAGAGAGAGAGAGAGAGAAAGGGAGGACGAGAAAGAGAGAGAGAGAGAGGCACAGGGAGGCAGAGCAGAGCAGGATACAGCAGGGGTAGGATACTGCACAGCAATGGTGCACCTGATGGTTATTGTGGCTCTCACGTTTGGGCAGGTCTCCTGCTGAGGCCGCTCTCAGGGCCAGCTTCGATTGGCCCCCGGCCTCTACCACGAAACCCCAGCGAGGCCTCCAGAGAGCCCCACAAGGATCCCAGGAGTGGCCAAGAGTCCGTCGCAGGTCCCCGTCAAAGAATCCCCGAGAGCGCGAGGCCAGGGTCCTCGACAACACTGCACACCTGCCGCTGTAAGCGCGGCGGTGGGTCGGCATCGGTATGCTGCTCGCGGCCGCGATACGTTCCAGTCATTCTTGCAGGCGCTGCGGCGGAGAAGTCTGCGGGGGGGCCGTTTCCAGAGGAGGGCGCGTTGAGACAACGATAGTCGGCCTTCTGATGGCCCCCTCGTCGCTACTGCTGGACTCGGCTCGGAGAACTGGCGCGTTCGGACCCGGGGAGAGTTCTGGGCGCCGATCTTGAGTTGCCGCTGTCTCAGTTCACGCGCCCTGCTTCGAGGTTTGCAGCCGTCAAGACGCGAAGAGCAAACGCAGCATCACTGTAGTGCTCTTCTCCGTGCAGCTGCTCGCAGCTGTGGTTGGACGGTGGTGGTGCCCCTTGCGGTGGCCGGGGCGAGGCGGGCGCTGATGTCGTGTGGGTGAACAGCCCGACCGCCGATCAGCGCAAGAAGGCTAACCACATTTTGGCTTTCGGTCGCTCTATTTTCTTCTTTCTCCGGTCTCTCCTTGCCCTGTCTTTCGTCGTGTGAATAGTGTGATTCGGGAGATGCGCACATTTTCCCACTATCGCAGCCCAGGAAGGAAGCGCGAACGTCAAGTGGTGAATCCCATGGCATCCATTCAACTCGATTCCGTTGTGACGCGTTAACCTCCAGTCTCGCCCTTTCGTTCCTTTCTTTCTTGTTGGCGGCTCGCTCTGTCTCGGATCGGCCCGGTTCGCCGGTTTGGCCACTGTCCGGGGTTTTTAACTCTCAGAAGCAATCTGCATGATTATGAAGTGTCATAGGTCCGCGTGGTATTGCTGAGTCGGCGCTGGAACTCCCTACCTTGCGCGCGAAGCGCTCCAGAGGTGGCGTCTGAGGCGCTCCAGAACCGCTAGGGGGTACAGCGCCAATCCAAGAAATCTGCGAGGTTAAATGTTAGCCACGACGGGTCGACGTCAAGGTCGCAGCCTAGGTGAAGCGGGCCGAGAGGTCGCAGGTGCACAACAAGGCTCCAATCCGCATCCGTGCAGTGGCGCGAGGATAAACCGAGCCTCACATTTTCGCGGCCTTGGCCAGAGAGCAGTCAGTAGTCTTTCTCCAGGCAGGGCCCATTCCGATCCGAATGAGCCGATTCGATATCGATTTCGGCTGGTTCGATCCGATTCGATTCCGATGTTCTGACGATCCGAGGCGGCCCGATGCTTGCACGGCGCTGTTGTGGATCTTGGCGCGGCCGATCCGTTTCGATTCCGACTCCGTGCTGATGCGGTCCTATCCGACCCCCGTGTTGGTTCGATCAGATTTCCCAATTCGATGCTAACCGATCTTGCCTGTCTTGGTTATTCGCAGGGGCGCGAGGGTAACACCGCGCTTTACGCTTCGCTGGCCTAGGTTGAACAACAGTCTTTCTGAACTTGGGGGGCCCGAGAGCGCGAAAGACAAAGAATTCGCTCCGCGAGAGCGCGAGGGCGCGAGAGCGCGAGCCAGGTTCGGTTTGACCGAACGTGCACGGGTAAGAGGGGGCGACAATCGACACCAGTTTCCGCCCATGTTGTGAAGGACTCGTTGCTGGTGCCGCCGCGGGCGTTATCGCCGTGAGACAAGTGGGTCTGTGGGCAACATTTGCTCACGGGCCTTGTGCCCATAGCTTCCGCACCTGACAGGAAGGCTGTTTGATAAGCAGTCTTCCGACAGACGGTCCGCTCTGGTCTCCCCCACGCCCACCGAAGCCAGCCCCTCAATCGCTCCCCCCCACGCACCGCAAGGACAGCCTATTCTTAGACCAGGGCTCGAGCTAAACGGTGTTTTGGCAATTTCGCAGGCCGTGTTCGTTTGGATATCGTTGCGTGGCAGAGGCAGAACGAAGACATGACGAGAGGAAGCGAAGACAAAACGAACACGAACAGCACTGCTTGGCTCGATTCCTGTCCCACACCCCTCACGCAATCCACCCGGGGTGAGGTCGTCTGAGGTAGCGCCGCCCTCCCTCACAGCTGACACCAGGGCCAGCAGCAGCCACGGGAGGAGGGGGGGGGCATTTTGCTGGCTGCCTGTGTGGGAAGAGAAGTGGGACCCTGCCCTGCTCCTCACGCGTTTCGGTCTTGAACTGCCCACTCTGACTGGTCAAGGCATCGGCTGAGTAGTGTTTTGTCGCTAGGGGCAAGCGCCATAAAGACTTGTTTCCATTGTGCGCAGTACAGTACAGTACAGTACAGTACAGTTTAGTACAGTACAGTACAGTACAGTACAGTACAGTACAGTACACTCTGTGCTCTAGGGCCCTTTATTCTTAGAGGCACCCTTTGGCTTTGGCGCCCCCATGGGGCCTCCCAGTTCATCTCCTGGAGGTTACAATTCAGCCAGCATCGGTGCTGGCACTTCCGTGGTCGAAGACCGGCCAACGCCCGCGCTGTCCATCTCAACCTCGCTTGATCTGTCCGGATATGGCCTCATCTCAGACTCAATCCAGGTTCAATCAGGGCCGATTTGGTTTGATGGCCCTTCGACCGGGCTTCAGAGCGCTTTATCTCGGCTAGGACGAGAATGAATCCGTCCCAGAGCGTTCAGGACCGCTCTGAGAAGGCCGCGGCGCCCGAGACATCCTCCAGATCCGCCGGATCTGAGAGATTTAACCCGGAGAAGCAATCGAGAACCCCCCCCCTCTCCGGCGAAGGTATAACGCACCCGGCACCCCAGGAACGTTACCCTGGCACCTCGCACCTTTATGTGAACGCAGACGAGTCTGCTCGCCGAAACAAGCACACCGCCTCAGACATTCTCGCAATATTTTGGCTATTATTCGCCATTCAGGATCAAGCCGAGGGCCAAGGCCTCAGTCAAGAGGCCTTGGCCCAGCTAAACAGAACAACTCCTCCTCCTCCTCCTCCTCCTCCTCCTCCTCCCCAAGACTCCCTTACGGCACGGCACCAACACGAGCAATGACAATAATGCCAGCACTAAGACTTATATCTAGAACAACAAGGCCAATCACAACACCAACAACAACAACATCAACATCAAAAACACCAAGAACGCCAACACCAACAATAACATCATTAAGTCCCACGCAAGGGAGAGCGCAGCTTTGAAAAGGAACCGTCCGTGCCTACGATGGGGAGCGAAGAATTTTGGCGGTGCGGGTGCTAAGATAGCGCGGCGTGCGTGGCGAGGGCAATATCCTCGGATGCACTATCCCACACGACGGCCAGGAAAACCAATGTCTCAACAGAGGTGGTACTACACATCGTATAGGATCAGGATGATGAAGATAATGAGGCCAAGCTCTTTTTTCTTATTCGTGTTATGAAAGTTATTTTGATTCGCATTGTTCTTCTTACTATCATTATAATTGTGGTTATTATCATGATTATTCTTCTTCTTAATATGTTTTGTCTGTTATTTCCTTATTCTGATCAGTATTCTTTTTTCGGAATATGTTTATCATCGATGATGTTGTTATGACTATTCTTACTCTTACTACTACTCTTAGTATTCTGATTTTTACTCTTACTCTTATTATTAGTGCTATTCGCATTATTATCCCTGCTATTACTATCATAATGTTTCCTATTCTTATCCTTATCATATTAGTTTTATTATTATTCGTAGTCGTATTCTGATTAGTATGGTTATCCGTATCCTTATGAGGGTTATGATCCCTTTTCTTATTGCTGGCACTACTCTTATCATTACTCTTATTACCATCAATTCTCTTACTCGTATCCTTATTATGATGCTTAAGTTCTTTATTATTGTTATCATTGTCATTAATACTTGTATTCTTATTATGACTCGAATTATTATTTGTAGTCTTATTTTTAGTTGAGTTTTTACGATGATTATTTGACTTATTGTACTTCTTGTCTTTATTTGACAAACTGTCGTGATTATTCTGTGCGGGTGCGGTGCTAAGATAACGCGCCGTGCGTGGCGGGGGCGGTATCCTCGCGCCACACGGCTGCCAGGAAACAACAAATTTCCAACAGGGGTGGTAATACAGATCGTATAGGACAAGGATGGTGAAGATAATGAGAACAAGCTTTTGTTCTTATTCTGAGTATGGTTCTGAATATTCGTATTATGATTCTTACTATGATTATTATTCTTAGTCGTATCCGTATTCTTATTCGGATTCTGATTATTATTCTTATTATTCGTAGTATTCTTACTTGTATTACTATTCTTAGTAGTCGTATTCTCACTCTTTTTCTTATCAGTATTTTTTTCATTGTCTTACTAATTCCTCTTACCATTAGCACTCCTAGTATTATTCTCATTCTTCGTTTGTCATTTCTTACTCGCATTCCAATTCCAATCAGGATATCACCCGAACCAAGGCGCGGGAGAATCACGGTGCGGTGCTAGTGATAACCCCGGGGGGCTCTTTGATAGCTTGATGAGGTTATCCTCGCCCGAATTTTTTCTCGTCCTGGCTTCGTCTTACTTCATCGTTCTTGCGAAGACTCCCTAACCCATCGAGCCTTCCGGCGAGGGGGCTCGTTCTCTCGGCCTGCGCCCTTGTGGTCATGCTCTGATCGCACGTGATGTGCCACCTTGCCCCTGGACTCGAGGCCGGTCAAAACGATGTTGAAGTTCTCGGCTCAAGAGGACCCCAAAATCGCCCAACAGGTTCCCAAGAGGGCCCAGAACGCCTGGCGCTTCCAGAGGCGTGATCCATGCGGGCGTTTCGTAACGCTGGGCGACCGAAATATAGGGGCCCCTCAGGCGGTCCAAGAGGGGACCCCCTGGGGCTTCAAAGGTGCACGAGAGGTGCACCGTTCTTCACCACCCCCGTTTTCGTCGCCCACGCGCAGAGGGGGGGTAGGGGGAGGGGGGACGGCTTCTTTGGAGGAGGCCGCTTCTTTGAAGGCGACGGCATTACATCTATAGATACGGTCGGCGCCTTCTCAGGAGCAGCCTGCTTCTAAGAAGCCTTTCCCCCTCCCCCATACCCCCATGTGCGCGCCGCAAATCTTTCCCCGCCCGAGCCATAACCATCAGTCGCCATGACAGTTAGGTCCAGGGCGCCAAAAACTTGCTCGAAGCATTTGGTGTCGGTGGATCGCGCCGCGTCGCCGATGCGTCGGCGGTGCGGCGCGGTCCTCCGACCCGAATTCGGCGGCCTCCAGATTGTATGTCCTGAGGGAAACGGGTGCCAGACCCCGGGGGGCTCTTTCTCCCGGGATCGGCTTTTCATCCCAAGTCGTCTCCTGGCAGTTCCTGGGCAAGTGGAGGGCCAGAGGGCCCGACGAAAAAACCACGGCAAACCATCAGGACCCCTCTCCGCCAGGACCTGTCGACTCCATGCTGGACTGGGGCGGTCCAAACAAGGAACCGCTCGTGATCCGTAGCCACTCTGGCTCCAGGTTCGGGCCACTTCGTTTTGCCATTACTTCCTGGCAGCGCGACCAGGGACGAGAGTACATCGAGGCATGACGCTGCTGGGACTGCTACTCGCCTCGGGCACTGCAGTGGCGGCGCAGAATGCGAAGCCACACGTCCTGCTCCTCCTGGCAGACGACTACGGCTGGGCCAACTGGGGAATCCACAATACTGGAACTGGTCCGCAGGACAAGCAGCTGCAGGCAGAGATCCACACTCCGAGCTTGGACAAGTTAGCAACCGAGGGTGTAAGGCTGGACCGGCATTACACCTTTCGGATCTGTTCCCCGTCGCGTTCCTCCTTGATGTCTGGCCGCTTGCCGATGCACGTGAATTGGATGAACACCGGCATCACGTCCAACAACCCCAAGGACCCAGTCAGCGGCTCTGCCGGTATCCCGCGCAACATGACGGGCATGGCTGCGAAGATGAAGGAGGCAGGATACCGGACGCACATGGTCGGTAAGTGGGACGCTGGAGCTGCAACGCCACAGCACACTCCATGGGGCAGGGGATTCGAATCGTTCTTCGGCTACATGCAGCATGCCAACGACTACTGGAACGAGGGCATCGGCTTCACGGCCGTAGGCGAGGTAGATGTGTGCCTTGATAAGTTCGTGGATTTCAGCTTTTATAACGAAACGTTCAAGGGTGGCGTCTCAGCGGAGATCGCCGCCGAGATGGGCTGCCTGAAGGACACCGCGTACAACCACAGCAGGACCGTTGAGCTGCTGCCTCAGGTTCGGGGGCAAAGATAGAGGGCGATAGGCATAGGAGTGGATGCATCGTCCTCCAATTGTCCATTCATCGCCGATGGGGGGCCGATAGCCCAAACCTGCCCAGGAACCGCCGATCTATCGGCGATGTATCGCCGATTCCAGGTCGATACTTCCCTCCCTATTCCAGTGCCGCCCACTCTTTATCCCTCACAGGTCAGCCCCACAGGATGCGTGAACGAGTCCTACTGCTTGCCAGACAGCTGCTACGAGGAGGCCATGCTGCGACAGCGTTGCCTACAGATCATCGAGCAGCACGACCTCTCGGAGCCGCTGTTCCTCTTCTTCGCGCCGCACCTCATGCACACGCCGCTGCAGGTGCCTGACAGGTACCTGACGAAGATCGACAAGATGGTGACGGACGCAGGCGCACAGCCTTTCGACTCCTCGAACCGCAGGCTGTACGCGGCGATGGTCCTCTACCTCGACGAAACCATCGGCGCTGTAGTTGATGCCATGAAGACGAAAGGGATGTGGGACAACACGCTCGTGATCTTCACTTCCGACAACGGCGGCCCCATCTACGAGCCTGGTGCGGCCAACAATTACCCCCTCAAGGGCGGCAAGTACTCCGATTGGGAGGGCGGCATCCGCACCAACGCCTTCGTCTCCGGCGGTTTCGTCCCCGCAGCTCGCCGTGGCAGCGTGCACAGCGGCGTGGTTTCGATCGCGGACTGGTACGGCACGGTGGCCGCGCTCGCCGGAGTGAGCCAGGAAGACAAGGCCGCCGAGGATGCGAACGTGTGGCTGAAGGAGAAGGGTTTGCCCCTCCTGCCGCCTGTCGACAGCGTGGCTCAGTGGCAGCACATCGTGAGCGGGACCAACGGCAGGCCTGACACGCTGTACGTCAGCAACAAGGCAGTGCTCAAGTATCCTTGGAAGCTCGTTGCCTCGGATCAGGTTTACAGCATCTGGTTCGGCCAGCAGTACCCGAATTGCACCACAATCGAGGGGATCGCCGACCATGGCCCCGCGTTGCCACTGTTGGACGAGGTCCACCTTTTCGGGAAGTCGCTGGATCTCGGCCTGAGCGCGGCGGCCATCGCTCGCATCATGGACATCGAGCACTGCGGGGACGGCAAGTTGTTCAACGTCGAGGAAGATCCCACGGAGCACCATGACCTGTCCGGGGATCCGAAGTATGCGAGTCTGCTAGAGGAGCTGCGCGGCGACCTGAAAAAATTCAACGAGGGTCTCTTCGAGCCAGACCGCGGCGAGCCTGTCATGGAGGCGTGCTGGGAGGCGATGCGGGCGGGCGGCTTCTATGGGCCGTACGTCGACAGCGCCGATTTCTACAGCCCGATCCAGAAGACGCCCAAGCAGAAGGCGGACGACGTGACGGACAAGGCCGATCTGGATTACGTGGAGCAGGTGCTGCTGCCCAACCGTACGAAGCAGATCGAGTGGTTCCAGGGGCGGGTTGGAGACCTGACCAAATTGCTGCACGGGGATGCATTCGACAAGTGCCTTAAGCCCCGTCTGGAGGCACTCGTGGTATGAGGGGTTGGTTGGCGAAACCAGCCGCGACGGTCCGCGATGCGATGAGTCCGCTGCATTTGTACGCATACAAATGATAATGATGTCCCAGCGTCCCCCGTCGCATTCGCTCAGAGAGGATACAACACAACGCGCTCACAAGTGGCGCTAGCAGGTGCACGCGTCCTCGCGTATTCGATGGGACTGCTTCCGCGCAGAGGCAAGGCAGTCGCACTTTGGCAGCGGAGTTGCAACATTACCCGCGCCACGGCAATAGTTTTTTCGGTGGGCTGTGAATTCCACCAGCTGCTCCTGTGTACACTTCATCATCTGACGGCTCGCAGGGGTTCGTGTCTGGATGTTCAGACAGAACTCGCGCATGTCGAGGAGCGGTGCAGACGAGATGGCACGACGTGGTGGAGCTTCATCGCCGCCCACTGTGTGCGCTTCGCGGTGATCTGAATGAGTCTGGCTGATCCAGAATACCGCGTCAGCAGTACGGAGTGTCGCGTGTCCGCTCCAGTTCAGTTCAATCGGTTCCGAATGCAACGACAAAACAACTTGTTTCGAGCGATCCCCACCGAAGCCTTCGGCATGTCAACGGGGCGCGCGTCTACTGGAACAATGTGCGCGGGGCCCGGCGGTCTCGGCCAGCGCGGCGGCCGGGCCAGGTCGCCAGTTCATGTTACCCGAACGTCTAACAATCCCAGGCCCCCTGACGAAAGAAACCGAATCAAGTCTCTGGAGCGACAAACGAGCCCCCAAAACGCGTCTTGCGATGACCCAAGACTTGTTGCTCACCCCTTCTCGTATTCGAGTAAGGTTCTATTCTGCTATGCCGCAATCTGATATGTTGTGTTGTCGACGGGACGGCTTGACGCCGTGACGCATGTCACGTTTGATACGTCGTCCGATCGGTACTTGCTGTTCCTGTTTGTACCTGCTGCCATGCTGACCTCGGCGCGCACGTCGCCTTGCATTACTGTGTAGTGCATTATATCATGTTGCGATACCCTCATTCGCATATGATTCGCCTCTGTCAAAGTGCGCTCTGTTGTGTTCATTTCTGTCACAACATGCTTCGATCTATTACGGCATGTCTGCTCTGTGGCACCAGACTGTGGCGTGGTATGTCCTGACAGTTTATGTGATGACATGCTAGTGTGTTATATTGTTTACGTTTCGCCATGCTATGCTCAGTATGCGATGCGATGTATTGTAGTGGCAGCATATCTTTATGCAACGTAAGAATATATTTTTCGCAGTCCATTCGTCGCAGTCGTTGCGTTGATCTGTTACCATATTATCGATGCTGAGTTATGTCATGCTCTCCTCCGTCACGGCGCGTTCTGTTACGCTTTTTATGTTATGGTCTGGCCTTTTATTCATAACATGCGGCAAAGCGGCTGTCGTGGCATGGTGTGGCATGCTACGTTATGTGATGACATAGTATGTCATGCTTTCTGGCATGGTATGCCAGGTTGTGAACCGTCATGCCATGATCGTTTATGCCACGCTATGTCATACCATTCCATGCCATGTTATGTTCAGCTATGCGCCGTTATGAGGGTTCGTATTCTGCTTCGTTCTGCATGGTCGGGTTTGCCATACCATGCGGTGGTGTGTTGTGTTGTGTGGTGTTATGTTGCGACATGCTATGACGTGCTATGATATGATATGCTATGTTTGTTTGTGCTGCTATGATGTATGTTGTTATGCTATGTCATAACGTTGGATGTCGCGTTCGGGCATTGCTTGCGTTGTCATTGTATTGTATATTATGCAATGGTATACTATGCTGTGTTATGGCATTGTATGATTTGGCATGCTATGCCGTGATATGTTGTGCTATGCCGTGTTATGATACGGTATGCACGGTCCGCTCTGTCATTGCATGCGTTGCCATGCATTGTCATGCTATGACGCGTGATTAGTTGCTGTGTTATAGATGATCCGCTCTGTCGTAGCATGTTTGGTATGCTAATTGTCATAGTAAGCCCTGTTACGTGTTGCTGCGTTATGGTATGCTCTTCTCAATTTGTTCCACCTTGTTATGTTATGCTCAGTTCTGTCAGGATCTCGCGTTCGTCGTCGGCGCGAGGCGGGCGTCTCGGGGCACTCTCGGTGGACCTGGGGATCTGGCGTCCGCGGTTTGCAGAATAATGGTCGTGTCGGCGCGAGGCGGGCGTCTTGGGGGATTCTCGGTGGACCTTGGGATCTGGCGGCCTCGGTATGCAGACAGGCCAGGTTGGCGCGAGGCGGGCGTCTCGGGGGATTCTCGGGGGATCTGCGGAACTGGCGGCCGCGGTTTGAAAGGTGGTCGGGCCAGGAGGTCTGTTCTTAAATCTAACGACCCCAACCTGTCAGGTGGGGAGCGAGTCGTTCCTGACCGCGCTGCGGTGCGTCTGTGTGTGTGTGTGCGTGTCCGATTTGCGCCACCTGACCCCGCGAGAGGCCCTATCGGCCTCGAGGCGGCCCTTGCCTGCGACTCTGACGCAGGCGCCGTCGAAAACTCAGCGGGTGCCTTTCAGCAGAGGCGCCATCGAAAGGATGGTAATTCGATGAAGTACACATGCATAAAATTACTGCCTTTGAGAAAACAAGGAACGTTGGATAATGAACTATTGCGCGATTCCGCCCCCGCGCTTGGGAAGGAGCTTGGGGGGAAGGGGGTGGCCTGGAAGACGATGGGGCAAGGGGGGCGGACCACGGAACCAGCCCCTTGAAAATTTGGAAGTTTGATCTTGCCGCAGAAGATGGCTTGAAATGCACAGCGCGCAGGTCTTGGTCAAGCAAGTGAACGCACGCTGGGCTCGCTGCGCTGGAGGGCTTTACTTTTTGCCCTGCGAAAGGCAAACAGATCAAAGAAACGAGTGCCCGGCACACTGGCCGCTGCTAGCGCAGTGGCGGATGACCTGCTCACAAAAGGTGTTGAACGCCTTGCTGGCTATGTCCGCGATCTCGAGGCTCAGGCTCCATTCCGCGGCTTGTCCTAGTCTCGAGTGCCGCATGCCAGGGTCCATTTCGATACGATCGATCCGATGCGAAATTGAGTTCTGTTTGCTCGATCCGATTCGACTCCAATGTTCGGACGACCCGATGTGGCCCGATGCTCGCACGTCGCTGTTGTTGATCCTGGCGCTGCCGATCTGGCTCGATTCCGATTCCGAGCTGGTGCCGATTCGGTGCTGACTGGTCCTGCACCGATAAGAGGGGTGGAGATGTCCAGGAGCCCATGTCCAGCTTCGATGCTGACCGTTCCTGAGGGTGGAGGAAGTTGAGCGGGGGCGACAAGGGAGGAGGTACGGAGACAGGCGGGCATGCGGGAAGGGGGGGCTGAGAGGAAAGTTTCAATCTGTCTTCTGGTTTGCAGTTCCGGTCCTGATTCGGTGCTGATTGATCATGCGCTCCAATGCGCTGGGGAGGTCCCGCGGTATCGCGGTCTCGTCGGGTCCCAGAAGGCTCCAGGGAGGCCCCTCGGCGGCGTCCTGATGTCCCCTGGGGGCATCGGAAAAGCTCTCTGGAGGCCCCTGGAATGGTCCAAACCTCCCAGAAGCCTCGAGTCTCAAGCCTCGAGCTTCGACGACGACGATGACGCTGGCGGCGGCGGCTGCGGTCCAACGGCCCACAGGCGATTGCCACGATCGCCCCCTGGAATTCCAGTGGCCCGACAGCCCCAGAAAAAGAGTTTCGAACCTCGACGAGAGATGAGAGCGAAGTTGGAAAATTGTAGGAGAGCTTGGGGAGCAGCTTCTGCGAGCAGCAATTCAGGCACGAGCTCATCCCAGGCACCGCGGTGCCAACCACCCGCGCCCCCTGCAGGGCCGGGCGCTGCCCAACATTGACCGTCTGTCTGTCAAGCCTTGTCGACGACGATGACGGTGGCCGCGGCTGCGGCCCCAGACCTCCGACGACGTGTTTTTCCAGGCCGCGCCTCAGAGGTCTCGACCACTTCACCGGGGGCAGGGTCTCGTCCTGGGTCTGCCCGTGATGGCCCCAGGCCTGGGCACCGACCCCCAGAAGGCGAAATGGAGGAGCGACCCCGCGACCGAAAGATTGTCGTCGTCGAGTGTCTGGAACTTCGACGACGACGATGGCGGCGGCGGTCTGTCTGGCTGGCTGGCTAGCTGGCTGGCTGGCTGGCTGCGGCGATGGCGGCGACTCGTGGGTGGGAATCATATCCATATCCACGGGCTCGTGGGCTTGGCCCCTGGGCCGCGACCCCATGAATACGGGTTGCTTCGCGGATGCTCCGCTCGGGACGTATCCATGTGACCGCGCATCCTCGAGATCGCGTCCTGGAATGCGGACTGCGAGTGCGTTGATATCAGTTCTCATATTTCTGACATTGCTGCGTAAGCTCCCGCGTAAAGTCGCGTGTAAGCGCCCTCGTCTCCACTGGCGCGCCGCACCGGCGGCCCGCGCCCGCGCAAGCCGCCGCCCGAGGCCGCTTTGTCACCTCGCGTAATACCTGTTTTTTGGTCGTCGCCCATCTGTTCGCCGCTCGTGAACGACGTCGGCGACGGTGGCGGCGGCGGCGAGCGACGACGACGGCGACGACGACGACGGCGATAGCGATGACGACGGCGACGACGACGACGGCGATAGCGACGGCGACGGCGACGGCAACGGCGACGTCGACGGCGACGACGACGACGTCGGCGAGCTCGTGTACGACGGGGGCGGCGGGCGGCCAGCGGCGCGCTGCGCGCCGCAGGCCGAGGCGCTGCTCGCCGACCCGCGCCTGCGGGCGGCCTGCCCTGGCTGCGCGCCGGCGCCGCGGGACTGGCCGCAGGCTCGGGGAAGAGGAGGAGAGGCGGCAGCCAATCGTGGGATCCTCGTATGATTGCCCTCGCAGCGCCGTTTTTCGGGTGCGCTGGTGTCGGGCAGCGTCTGGTAATCGATGTGATGTCGCCGATTTGGCGCCGACTTGGCGCCGTTTCGCGGAGGGCAGCCGAGGCCAGTGCCCCCTCGATCGAAGACCAAACAACTGCATAAACATAAACCACTTTCGGAGCTGTCCGGATGTCTCGGATCGGCGCTGGGGCCCCCCTGGTGGCCTGCGCGCTCCGTACGCCAAGGGGGGGGTTGTTCAGCGCAGGTCCAGGAAGTCCGTGCGGAGCTCCGAAAATGTGTGTTCATGCCGTTTTCTTGTCTCTTCCGAGGGAGGAGAGGCGGAGGGCAGCCGCGGCCAGTGCCCCCTCGAGACCCGCTGCCCGTCACCTGGCGCTGGCCTCGACCGCAGAGGGCGGCGCCCCCCTCTGCCAGCGATCTGCCGCAGGTCAGCGGCAGCCTTGTGGGGCGGGATGCGCTCAGGGAGGGACGCGTCGACCCCCCATCGCCAGCTCATCGCTGGTAGGGGCCCGATGGCCGGCCGCACCCAGGAGCGTGCGGATTCGATGTCGGGGGCTTATCGCCGATCCATCGGCGACGTATTGCCGATTCCAGGTCGATGTTTCCCCCCCCCCTGAGTCGGTGCCCGCCTAACATTCCCGCTCAAAGGGAAGAGACGCCACAGCCACCCCAGATATCCGACGAATAGAAGAAGTTTTGGTCCCAGAGTGCCTTCAGCTGCTGCGTCTCGTCGAGAGCTTTCCTGGGGTGACCAGATCGTGTCGAGCAACCGTTGCAGGCCCGAGTTATGACACGAACGCCTCGTCGCCGCGGTCGCAGCTGCGGCCGCCGCTTCCGCCGCTTCCGCCGCCGTCGCCTTCGTCGTCGTCGTGCGCAGAGGAGGGTGGTAAGGACTGGGCGGGTGCGGGTATTGTGGCTTGGGCCACGGTATCTCCCAGATGTCATTGCCCCCTTCTTCCTTCAATCAAGCTTTTGCGAACCGTCCTGGTCTGTTGCGGCTTTTGAAAACATGTTCTGAGAGCATTTCTGACTCAGCCAGCTTTGTTTTGAGCAATTTGTTTTGTGCTACTAGAACATTGTGTGCTGCGTGGTCCTTCATGGGAGCCTCAGAGGGTCCCCAAATTCCTTCAGTTTTGGGGATTTCGTCCGGATTTCTTAAAGATTTCGTCGAATTCTGGACGACATTTGGTCGAAATTTGGACGGAAGGGTGAGGAGGGGTGGTCGATATTTGGACGACCTCCGGTCGAAAAGTTCTGACAGGGCCGTGGAGGTATTCCGCGACGGCCAGCCCCTGCTCAACACACAAGCGTCCCCCAGGTTGTCCCCCCCTCTCGTCCTCGTGCATGCCTCAGGCCTTGTCGCGCTACAGTCAACCCCGCATAGTGAGGATGGGCAACCTTTCCAAGGGTGCCCTTGCATCCTTGCCCCTTCGGTCCATCCTTAGCGACTTTTAGTGGGGATGAGCGACTTTCCAAGCTTACCCTTGCACCGTTGCCCCTTCGGCCCATCCTTGGCAGCTCTTGCTGGCCAGCCCCGCTCGAATAGCGTCAGCACGCCCTTCTAAGGCCCTTTGCATCCTCACCGCGAATCCTTATTCTATGTTTTGATAGCGCTGTTTTTCAAGTCGCGGTCCCCGAAGTCCCGACGCTTTTCCCATTTCCTGACGGCCTCGGGGCCCCGCGAGGGCCCCCGAAGGCCGAGAACGGCTAGAAGCCAACGCACTGAAGTTTCCAATCCGTTGGGGGCCTTGGTCTTCGGAGCGCCCGGGCAGGCGTGCGAGGCGCTGTCGCTGCAGGCGGGCCCCCCGGGCGGCTGTCGGGCGGCCCTCGGGCCCGTCTCCGCGCGGCCCTCGGCCGTCCTCCAGGCGGCCATCGGGGGGCCTCCAGGGGCCGGCGGCCATCGGTGGCGGCCCGCCCGGCCGCGGCCCAGCCCGGCCAGGCGCGGCCTGGCCTGGCCCCGGCCGCCTCCGCCGCCAGAGCCGCCGCCGCCAGAGCCGCCGCCGCCAAAGCAGGCGCCGCCGCCGCCGTCGTCGTCGCCCTCCGCCGTCGCCGTCGTCGCCGTCGTCGTCGTCGTCGTCGTCGCCGGCAAAGCCGAAGCCTTCGCGCTGCCTTCGCCGCCGGCGGCGGCGGCGGCGTCGTCGTCGTCGTCGTCGTCGTCGTCGGCAGCGGCCTTATCTGGATTTCCTCCGTTTTGGGCCTCCTGGGGGTGCCCTAGTCGCCGCCCCACGGCTGGGGAGAGCGCGCTCCAGGGGCGTCGTCTGGCCGATTTGAGGGAGCAGGCAGGTCGCCGTCGTCGTCGCCCTCGCCGTGGCCATCGCTGTTGCCGGTGTCCCTGTCGCCACCGCCGTCATCGTCGTTATCGTAGTCCTCGTCGTCGCCGTCCTCGTCGTTCTCGTCTTATCCATTGTCCTTGTCGCCGTCGTCGTTCACGTCGTCCTCGTCGTCCTCGGTCCTGATCCTCGTCGGCCTCGTCCTCGACGTCCTCGTCTTCGTCTTTGCCGTCGCCGCCGCCGCCGTCGTCGTCGTTGCTCGTCTTCCGCCTGCGGCGGGTCGACGTCGTCTTCGTCGTCGTCGTCGCCCTCTTCGGTAGGAAGAGGGCGGATGCTTTCGGCGGTCGTCAGGGCGTTTCCTGGCGGGATGGGAGAGGAGGGTCAGGGCCCATCTCGATCCGACTCGATTTCGATGCTCCGACGGTCCGATGCGGCCTGATGCTCGCACGGCGGTTCTGTGTATTCTTTCACGGCCGATCCGATTTGATTCCCTGCCGATGCCATCTGATCCGACGCATATTCCGATTCGATTTGGTCTTGCCCAGAGAAAGGGTCGAGAGTAGTCCATACCAGGATACGATGATGACCACTCCTGAGGGTGGAGGGAGCGCAGGTGACGATGGAGGAGGTACGTGGAAGGAATGGGGGGTAAGAAGACGGGGGGGCGGGGGAGATGGAGGAGGAGGTCATTTTCGAAGAAGACGGATATCTTGCATGAGCATGCGTTTTCGGAGAGTTGCGCGGACTTATCGGATCGGCGCTGCGCCCCCCTGGCGCGCTCCGAGCGCTAAGGAGCGGGACCCAGCGCCGATCCGAGAAGTCAGCGCGGACATCCAGAAGATCATGCTTATTCCTACTTTTATCGAGTAATGAAGGAGGAAGGAGGGGAGGAGTGAGTAAGCGTAGGGAGGCAGGAGGAGATGGGAGGGAGGGGATGGCGAGGACGAGCTTCAGGATGGGGGGGTGACAGGGACCAGAAGGAGGAGGAGGCGGAGGAGGAGGAGCAGGCGACGGGCAAGTTGGAAGACAACGAAACGAAGGAGGATGAGGAGGAAGGAAGAAGAGGCGGACATGTACTATAAGTTTGGCTACTATGATCAGAAACACCGTACGTATTGAGCGAGCAGGCTTGACGGAGGGATAGCGAGGGAGGTAGCAGGCAGGAGGGGAGAAAGAGAGAGAGAGAGAGAGAGAGAGATACAGAGAGATAGAGAGAGAGAGAGAGAGATAGAGAGGGAGAGCGAAGTAGATCATCAGGGGGAGAGCGCGAGAGAGCGAGATATGATGCGGATACTGTTGTTGTTGATGATGCTGATGATGCTGATGATGCAGATGATGCTGATGATGCTGAGGACGATGCTAATGATGATGCTGATGATGCTGATTATTCTGATGTTGATGACGGTGATGCTGATGCTGCTGTTTATGATGATGCTGATGACGATGACGATGGGGATGATGCTGAGGGTGAGGATCAGGATGAGGATTTGGATGAGGATGCTGACGATGGTCACCATGCTGGAGTTGATGATGATAATGATGGTGGTGGTGCTGGTGGTGGTGGTGATGATGATGGTGATGCTGATGGTGATTGTGATGGTTTCGGCGGACATGATGCTGATGATGATGATGACGACGAGGATGATGATGCGGATGAGGATGTGTTTGATGATGAGGACGGGAATGAGGATGATGAGGATTAAGATGGCGACGCCGACGGCGATGCTGATGAGGATGATGATGATGATTATGATGCTGGCGATGCTGCTGATGATGATGCTGATGATGATGATGCGGATGCGGATGCGAATGCTGATGTTGCTGAGGATGCTGCTGACGATGCTGAAGTTGACGAGGCTGCTGTTGATGATGGCGATGTTGATGCTGATGCTGATGCAGATGATGATGATGCTGATGCTGCCGATGGATGATGATGATGATGATGATGATGATGATGATGATGATGATGATGATGATGATGATGGTGATGATGATGATGATGTTGGTGATGATGATGTCGGTGTTGATGGTGATGATGCTGATGACGATACTGATGATGCTGCTGCTGATGATGATGATGAGGACGATGATGCTGATGTTGCTGATGATGATGGTGGTTGTGATGGTGATGATGGTGATGGTGATGCTGCTGGTGATGATGATGGCGATGGTGGTGGCGGTGATGATGATGCTGATGAAGCTGATGCTGCTGATGCTGATGCTGATGATGATGCGGAAGAGGAGGCGGGCGTCGTTGTTGAGATGAGTATGGGGTTCATGAGGACGATTCTGATTCTCACGCTAATTATGCTTATGGGCATGATGGTGAATGTCTTGATGGTGCTAGTGATGCTGATGATGCTGCTGATGCTGATGAGGATGATGCGAATGCTTAAGGTGATGCTGATGCTGCTGATGGATGATGATGATGATGACGATGATCATCATGATACTGATGATGATGATGATGATGATGATGATGATGATGATGATGCTGTTGTCGCTGTTGATGATGAAGACGCTGGTAATGATGTTGATGATGAGGACGATGATGCTGATGTTGCTGATGATGATGGTGGTTGTGATGGTGATGATGGTGATGGTGATGATGATGGTAATGATGATGGCGATTGTTGTGGCGGTGATGATGATGCTGCAGAAGCTGATGCTGCTGATGCTGATGATGATGATGCGGAAGAGGAGGCGGGCGCTGTTGCTGAGGATGAGTATGAGGTTGATGAGGACGATTATGATTATGACGCTAATTATGTTTATGGACATGATGGTGAGGATGATGCTGATGCGTATGATGATGATGCAAATGATGATCATGATCATGCTCATGATTATGATGATGATGATGATGATGATGATGATGATGATAGTGATGCTGATGATTGTGCTGATGACGATGATGATGCTGATGCTGATGTTTTTTGCTGATGATGCTGATTATGATGATGCTGATGATGATGCTGATGATGATGATGCTGATGATGATGATTATGGTGGTGGTGGTGGTGGTGGTGATGATGAGCATCATCATCATCATCATCATCATGAGGAGGAGGAGGATAGCAGATTCGGAAGGCAACCGCTTTCGCGCAAAGCAATAGGGCGGAAGAGAATGATGGTAGGGCACGCTGGTGCACCATCGAGGAGGAGGAGCCAGGAAGGGGGAGAAGGAGGATGAGCCAGGGAGGAAGGGGAGGGGGGGATGAAGACGGGTTCCGCCTCATCCCAGCACCTCCCCTCTCCTCGTGTTTGTTGACCTCCTCCCCGACGCCCGTCGTCGCCTCGTTTGCTCGCAAGCTACTGTAGCGCTTGCAGGCTACTCTAACGCTCACGGGCTGGCGGCTAGGTGGCGTTGTCAGGCTCATTGCCCGTGGTTGCAGACATGGTTTTGCGCTCGCAGACTTTTGCCGCACATGCAGGGCCCGGCATTTGTTGCGCACGAGCGTGAGGTTCACGGGGTATCGGTATCTTGCTGCTGTGGTTCACGCAGGCGCCATGGTGCACGCAAGTGCAGCATTGCATGCATCGGGACAGGCAGTGCGGTGCAGATTTGAGAGAATATTCGTTTTACGTCTTGGTTTGTAGGCGGTGGAAACAGAGTATTGTAGCAGTCTTTATTTTGTGAACTAAATGCAGCACAGTGGCAATAACCACCATCACATCATAGTGCTCGACTGCGGGTGCGTGTGGGGGGAAAGCAGTGTGTTGCACGATGGTGCACGTATGCGCTGCGCAGTACATCGGCGATAAAGTGCACGCGGCTGCGGGGGTGCATACAGTGGAAGCTGCGAGCAGAGAGACAGCACGAATCGTGAAGCCTTCAACAAGGGAGAACTCGGATGAGGAGGATGAGGAGGAGGAGGCCGGTTGCTGGCCTCTCCTCCTCCTTATCCTTCCCCCTTTCGAAACGGTCCTTCGCTGGCGTCTGGGGGGCCCCGCCCACGCGCTGGCCTGGGCTCCGCTCGCGGGGTCGTGCGCTGGCGGTGGGCGGCTGGTGACGGAAGACGCCGCTGCGAGAAAGGAGGATCAAGGAAGCCAGATCTCAGACGACATGTGGTCATTTCCTATATGTTGTTATCGGCTTCGGCCTCTGGGTCCCGTTTTCTGGACCCAGGGGCTCTGAATAAGTGACGTGGGGCGAAAGAGTGGCCCCAAGGAGAGGTTCGGGAGTCCTGGAGAGAGTGGCAACGCATCCGACCGTCGGACGTCTGGGGAGGAGGGGCCAGGGCACCCTGGTGAGTTCTGCTGCCGCCCCGGGTCCTGATCCCTGGAGGTCCCCGCAGGCCTCCAGAGGCCTTTGGAGGCGCCAAGGGCGTCAATAAAACCTCCCCCCTCGGCCCTCGACGATCCGAGGGCACGGCTTGGCAGGGCACCCACTGGATCCCATCCATCCCCCATCCGCAAGGCTGCAATTTCAGATGAGGAGCAGGCTCGTGGAAGGCTCTGGGGCGGCCAAGCCCTTCTAGAAGCCTCGATCCTCCGGTCGGTCGCAGGCGGTATCCCGCCGCCAAGAGCTTGCTTTTGATTCGGTGTTGGCAAGTTTGCTTGCGTGGAGAGCTTGCACGCTTTTGTGGCCCAGCACTGGATGAAAAGGATGCGAGGCAGGTGGGAGGCAACATTCCCTACAAGTACATTGGCAAGCATCCAGATGAGAAAATGCTTAATCTCGCCTCCAATCCTCCCAGCTCTCACCCCAAAACTGGCCGCTCAGAAAAGAGCTGGGAATTGTCATGTAACGCGTCGCGTATCCCCAACAGCCCATCCAGACGTGATGCCCAGCGCAGCTGCCCTGAACTCTTGGATGCCTCTTGGGGCGTCTTGGGGGCGTCATGCCGGCTCGTGGGAGGCCCCGTGGAGCGTCTTGGGTGCCGCTGAGGGGCCTCGTGCTCTGTGGGCGAGCTGGACATTCAGGAGGCGATGGACGTGCCCAGCGACTCCCACATGGGCGGGTACTGCACGCAGTGCCTCGTGGGCTGATCGGGCGCTGTCGCGCCGTCTGTGCGGAGTGTCCCACAGGATCTGTGGGGGTGCTCTCCGGGTCTCAAGACAAGGCCTCTTGGGCCCTCTCGGGATTCTCGTGGGAGTTTCTCGGGCCGTCTTTGTGCCATCTTTGAGGCGATCGATCCAAGCAGGGGAGTCTTCAATTCCACGCCTCGCGTACCCTCACCAGCCCATACGGAAACGCTGCCAATGAGAACTGACAGGAAATGGAAGGAAGAGACACATCTTGTGAATGTGGTGAAATGAGGATGCGGAGGAGGAGAGGGAGGAGGAGGTACATATGGACGACGACGACGACGATGACTACGACGACGATGACTACGACGACGACGACGACGACTACGACGACGACGACGACTACGACGACGACGAGGCGGATTAGGAGGAGGAGGAGGAGGGGGAGGATGAGAGGAGGAGGAAGAGAAGGAGGAGGAGTGGGAGGATGAGGAGGAGGCGGAGGAGGAGGAGGAGGAGAATGAGGAGGAGATGGAGGAGGAGGAGGAGGACGACGAGGGCAAGGACGAGGAGGAGGACAACCTCGAGGACGGGGAGGAGGACTGGGAAGAGGACACGAACGACAAGGATGACGAGGAGGAGCAAGAGAAGGAGCAGAGAAGGAGGAATAGGACGAGGACGAAGAGGACGAGGACGAGGAGGAGAAGGGCGATCATTCTGGCAGCCATCTGGGATCTTCTTGAGGCCCTCTTGTGGTCCTCTTGTGGCTCTCTCGGGGCCCTCTTGGGGTCGTCTTGCGGCTAGTTTGCCGGGTCTTGGGTTCCTCTTTGGGGTCTTGGGGGCCCCTTGAGGCCCTTTTGAAGCCGTCTTTGGGCTCAATTTGGGCCCTCTTGGGAGCCCTGGCGGGCCTGCTGGGGCCAGTTTGGAGGCCATCGATCAAAGAAGGGGGGAGGTCCTTGATTTGCCCCCCCCTGGGGCCACCAATATCTCCTCTGTTGTGGCCCTCTTGTGGCCATCTTGAAGCACTCTTGGGACTGTCTTGGGGGCCTCTTGGGCCTCTCTTGGGGCTCTTTTGGGCCATCATGGGGCCATCTAGAACAGAACTATTGGGGCCATCTTGAGAGCACTCGGGGCCGTCTTGGAGTGGTCTTCGGGGCTTCGTTGAGCATGCCGGGCGCCATCTTGAGACGTCTTCGGTTACTGGGAAGGGCTTACGGCTGGTGCCGCCGACCCTGAAGGGGGACGACGACCACGACGGTGGCGTCGGCGGCGGCGACGACGCTGACGTGGGGCAGAGTCCTCAGTGATGCTTCGTCGGGCCTCTTCGGAGTGCGCTCGTAGGCCTCTGGGGTGCAGCTTTGGGTCCTCTTGGGAGCATCTTGGGGGCCTCTTGGGAGCCTCCTAGGGGTCCCTTCGGGCTTCCTGGGGGCCTGTTGGGGGCCTCTTGGGGGCCTCTTGGGGCCTCCTGGGGGCTTCTCGGGGCCGAAGGCTGGAAATGTTCGTTCGGGCTCCTGTGTCGGCACCCTCTTGGAACCGGTTTTGGGGCGTCTTCGGCCGTCTGGGAGGCCTTTCGGGTCGTCTTGGGGCCCTCTTGGGAAGACTCTTGGGTCGTTTTGGGGCCGTCTTGGAAGCCTCTTGGAGCCCCTTGTGCCCTTCTTGGTGGCATCTTGGGTCGTCCTGGGGAGTCGGGAAGTTGAAAAGGCGAGAACGCCAGAACCATTGAACAAGACCATCAGGAATTCATGTAATTTTGCATGTTGGGGCTCTCTTGGTGTGCTCTTGGAGGCCTCTTCGAGCGTCTTGGAAGCCGCTTGGACTGTCAGGCGGCCATCTTTAGCGTCTTGGACCGATTGTTCGGCGACTTGGGACCCCTCTTGGACCGTCTTGGGGGCCTCTTGGGCTGTCTTGGGGCCTTTTTGGGCCCCAGGACCCCGCGTGGGAGGATGATATTCTTACCCGCGACCCCCCCCCAGGACCCCCCCACGGACGACCCACCCACCCCCCAGCCCTCCCTGAAGATGAAGGGATCAAAGGGAAGGGGCTTTCATTCTGTTCAACTACGACGTTCCTCAATTTCGCTTTAGTTTCGCTTAGATTGACTCGCTTGAGGAGGAGTGTCTAGTGAAAGGGGGGGAGCGGTATGAGCCCAGGGAAAGTGGGGTGAAACGCGACGACGACGACGAGGACGATGAGGACGACGACAACGACGAGTCAAACAGTGCAGCGTCTTCCACACGCCGACAGGGTCGGCGGATTTTGTATTATCTCGGAGGCCATCTTGGAGCATTCGCGGCCCTCTTGAGGCCATCCCACGCCCAGAGGGTTTTTGGGGTTAGCCTCGCCACCTCAGAAGGCCACCATGAGCCAACCACCGACGACACAACACGTGTTTGTGCTTTCTTCTTCTCGTTGAGGCCATTTGGGACGTTCTAACTACCCGAGAGTGTCCCCGACCAGAGCCAGAGGGAGCGGGTAGAAGGAGGGGGGTCAAGCCTCCACCCCCCGAAGGTTGCCGTCTCGCTCACTCCCACCCGCCTCCCCAACACATAGGCAGCACCCGAGTGGAGGGCCCCAATCCCAATGAGTTCATGAGGTGGGACACTCCCTCAAGAGAAGTGCCAAGCATTCAGTGAAAAAGGTGGCTCTCTTGGGGAGCGCAAGGCACAGGCACCGACTGGCACCACGTGGTTTCCCTGGCATCGCACGCCCAGACAGAACCGATGGTTGTCCTGATGGTGTCCGCCGGCAGTGCAACACTTACACACGATATGTTCAAGCAGTAGAATGCGCAGCAGCACGACTGAGTGTAACACTCTGACGCGTATTTCAAGAACATCGCGGAGCCGAACCCACGGCGCTGGGATTGTTGTCCCGGCGGTTGTCCCGATGCTTGTCCTGACGGTTTTCCCAACATCTAGTGGGATCGATCAATAGATAGTGAGGGGAAAACGTTTGGGATGCAAATCAATATGGATATCCCGAAATGTGTCCACTCGTGAATTGGATTTTGTGTTCACTGCCAATCAAGAAACTGTTGTTGACGTTGCACACAGCAGGGAGTATGCCGCCCCCCCCCCGCCGTTCCTGTAAGCAACGAGCGAATTGGTTATGGGGCGCCCGCGCATGATCCTGAAATTTATGCAGCGTGTATGGCTGTAGATGTTGCAAGCGATGGTGGGGCATGCTGGCATTGCGCGCAGCAGTCACCATGCTGGCCCCCATGCCGTCCCTGGTACGAAGCATATATAAAGTGATCGCGGGGCGCCCTCGCACGATCCAGATTCTGGTGCAAAGTGCATGCTGTATTGCTTGTTGCAAGGGATTGCTGGGGGTGTAGACACTGCACACAGCAGGCAACTTGCTGGCACTCACCAATCCCTGTCAAAAACGAATGCAAAATAATAATGAAGCGTCCGCGCATGATCCAGATTTTGGTGCAACATGCATTATGTATGCTTTAGGCGAAGGACTGTGTGAAGGGTTGGGGGGGTGGTAGTGGCCTGGGTTTGTCGCCGGTCGGGTAGGGGAGGGGGAGTTTCCGATTACCAACAGTGAGGAACCCTTCCCCAAAGGGGAAGAGTTGGGGGAGGATGGCACAGGACAGCTCTAAACCACCTACCACCTCAGCCAAGTGGGCTGGTGGGATTCAGAGGATTTGGGAATCGGATTGTGGGGGGAGGATGGTGGACGCCTCCCCCCATCGTGCATCCCCCAGGTTGGGCCCAAAAAGTTTTGCCCGGTCGAAGTTCGCACAAGGACGACGAAGACGGCGGCCAAGGCGGCCCGGAAGCGGCCAGACCTTTCAGAAGCCTCGATACAATCTCGATCCTGGCAGACGATTCTTGGCCCCTTGAGACGCCCCTCGAGGTTCGATCTTCGATCTTCGAACTTCGAACCTCTCTCTTCGAACATCGACCCTCGAATCTCGACTTTCGACCTCGAACCTCGATCATCGACCCTGGATCCTCGATCCTCGATCCTCGACCCTCGATCCTCGACCCTCGAACCTCGATCCTCTGTCTAGGAGGCTCGGTTTTCTCCATTCCTCGACTTCCGCACCCTATCCTCAATCCTCCATCCAGAAGCCTCGATCCTCGATCCTCGTACCTCGATCCTCAGGCCTCGGTCCTCGAACCTCGATCCTCGCGGCTGGCGCCTGGTGGCCCGCGAGCGACGCGACTCGCGCGCGGCGGGCCCAGCGGCGGAGGCGCCCGTGCTCCCGTGGTGCGCCAGCCCGCCCGCCTCTGCTCGGTACGATCGGCAGTCGGGCCGGACGACAGGGCAGTAAAGGGAAAGGGTGGGTACGACGTCCGCTGCATGCAAATGGTGTCCGCCCCGCCGCCGGCCCATTCTTCGATGCATTGGCGCCTCCTGGCGCCCCGCTCGATACATGGGCGCCTCCCGGCGCCCGGCGCGCTCCGCGCCCCAGAGAGGGGCGGTCCAGCGCCGATCCGAGAGATCCGCGCGGACCTCCGAGTTTTCCTGTTTATGCCAAAGTTTGTTCCCCTAACGGCGGCGTGACCACCAAGGCGAACAGTAGAGATCTCCGACGATGCGATTTTTCAATCCAGGGATTTTTCCTTGGTTTTGGCCTCTCGGGCTTGTTTGCGGGCCCCAAGCCATCGAAACATGGGCTGTGACGCGAAAAACTACCGCTGGAGGAGGGAGCGGCATCCTGCCTGAACGGACAGAATCGAGACGAAGACCGACAGAATACGGTCGCCGCGGAGGTGTTGTCCACTTGAGACAGCGGCCGCCGTGGGTTGCGGGCAACATTTGCTGTTGGGCATTACGCCCATTTTTCCCACACCCGTTTCGGGCGTGCCAGTCTGCGTCGCCGTGCCCACCGTCGCAGTTCGCCGTGGCCTTGCCTTGGTCGTCTCCCTCGAGACCCTGGCGTCTCAGAGGAGGGTGAATTGAGACAATGGTAGTTGGCCTTCTGAGTGGCCCCCTCGTCGCCACAGCTGGACGTAGCTCGGAAAACTTGTGCGTTTGGACTCAGGTAGCCGTCCGGAGACGGATTTTGAGCTCCCGTTGTCTCAGCATGTTCTGACCCTGGAGTCGCAGTTTCGGGCCGACCGGCTCGAAACATTGCTGTGGAAGGAGTGGGTCTAGTCTAGGGTGATTGCCTCGTGGGGTCCGGGGCCCTCCTGGGGGCCTCTTTAGGGGCTTCCTGGTGTGTCGCGAACTCGAAATGTCAGTTCGTGCTCCCCCTCTTGGGCCACTCTCGAGGCCATGGACTTGCTGACACGTGTTGGGCGCCCTTGAGACTGAGAATGCGAGAAATTTGAATTCATTGAAGCAGTTTGTGGTGTAGAAGAACTGTTGGCCTCGTGTGGTGGCTCCAAGATCCTCCAAGGCGACCCGAGAAACACCCAAGAGGTCTACAGGAATGTCCTTGGGACTATTGGATCATCTTGAAACACGTTAGACGTGTGGAATCCCAAAAAGGTTCCCGAGGTTTCCAGTAAAGTCACGCCACAAGCCCCAGGAGCGCCTGGAAGGGCCATGGGCCCCTTACAGAGCATTGACGGTTCTCGATACTGAGAACTCGAATGGACCTGAGGACATTCCACTCACTGCATCGCGTCAGGATGGCGGATAGTCGCGGGGGAGTGAGTCTCTCCCGCTTTCCAGCTCCACCGCAGTTGGCAGAATTGCTCATGGGGATATGTGTGTCCTTCCGATTGCCTGAAGGAGCCTGACAAGGAAGTCCCTTTCACATGTCGTGGAGGTGGGGGCACATGGGGGAGTGGCGAATGGCATGGAAGCTGGATGGGAGGAAGGGGGGGAGGAGGGAAGACAGAATGAGGGGCAGGGGGGAGGGACGGGATGGTACAAGAACGGGAGAAGGCCACGGTCGTCGGTGGCCCCCGGAGGTCGCTCGGTGGTTCCTGGATGCCTCCAGAAACCGACTCACATCGCTCAAACACTTCCGATTCTCGAGGGAGGGAGGAGTGTGATATGTAGGAGGTTTTTGGGGAGGAAGCAGGGACGTGTGCAGGTGTGGTTGGGAGGAGAGCAATCACCTCCCTCCGAACACCTAGAATATGTATGTTGAGATCTCTGCAGCTATCCGACGCCTCCCCCCAATTCCTCGAAATCTCCAAGGAGGCTGCCGAGACCCTCTTCCCTCAAGCGTGTCGCGATGGGGGTGCGATACATGGAAAGGGTGGGTCGAGGAGGGCTGCAGGAAAGGGTCCCCCTGGGGCCCCGAAGTTGCACCGAAGGTGCACCTTTCTTGACCCTCCCGTTTGTCGCCCCCCTCCCATTTAGGCAGCGCCCGACTTCAGGAGTTGCCAGAGGTGTCCTTGGCCCAAGGTTTCCCGAGACTTTCCCAGGAGGCGCAGCCAGCCAAGAGCATCCCTCACGAGGCCCAGAGGGCCTCGTGGGCTCCAACATGGCGCAAAAAGACTGGGGCACCTTGGGCCAAGATCATCTTTGGCAACCCCTGATCATCCTTACCGTTTTCCCTCCCCGCGCAGACATCCAGAGCTCGATGCCAGAAGGCGCCCGTGCAGACCAAGACGACGCTGGCTCGATGACATGGGTCCTGTTGTGAATGTGAATCGAGGTTCTGTGGTGAGTGTGAGGCGCGTGATTCCATTCACAGCATGCGCTAATGAAGTGTGCCGCCCAGGACGTATGGAGGAATCTTGATGATATGTCCAGTGCATCTGTTTCAGTCATTGTGGGCGTTTCGCTCCCAACCAGCAGCACATGTCGGGTGCGCAGTGCGGGTCGCAGTCGCAATCGCAATCGCAGTCATCTCCTCGTCGTTGTGAAGGGAGGTATTTGTCCTCGCTGCAGCAGCCGACGACGCAGTTCGGGAACTACTACTCGGACGCCGCGGGCAGACGGGGCCGAGCGGGAAGGAAGGAGCGGGGGGAGAGGGTGACCCAAACGTCCAGCGCCTCGAACAAATCAGGGCGGCCAGCTTGTCACGATGTGCGGCCCCTGGAGGCCAGTCTCGCGCCTCGGAGCCGTCAGCAGAAACGACTCGGGACGAGAAGCTGGCCGCATGGGGAGAGGGCCGAGAGGTCTGAGAGGGCCCTCGCGCCGATCCAAGCTCAAGCGCCGGGTGTCTGGTCGCAGGCAGTTTCTCGCCCCCAGATGCCCGACATCCCCCAAGCGAAGGTCAGACCGTGTAGAAGGGAGGGAAGTTTCGGGGATACGCTCCCACTGGGGTCGCTCGGACGCACCCCTGTTGAGCACGGACGCTCCCCCCCTTTGCACCCCCGAGCTGGGCCACAAGTTGTTGGTCCAATCGTAGCCCCACGGAGTCGGGGAAGGAGGCAGCCGTACACAATCAGCATGTCGGAGGTCCTCGCGGATCTTTTGGGTCGGCGCTGGACCGTTCTCGCCTTGGCGCCGACCTCCGTACGTTTATGTCCATCAAGTTTGTCTCCTTCTTCTGGGAAGGGGTGAGAGGTCTGGGAGCCTGCCCAGGGGCAACGTCAAGGGGGGGGATAGGCCCGAGGCTTAGGGGAGGACGCATCGATCCCCGATTGCCCTGGCCGCGGGCCAGCGGGCGTGCCGAAGGGTGCGGGCTCTTTTCTGCTCTTCGGTGGTCGAGCCGCCGGGGCTTGGCACCCGCCTGGTGCCCCCTGGGGACGGGCGGCGTGTGGCCTGACTCGCAAATCGGGCGTTTCGTAACGGCGTGGCGATGAATGAGGAGGGGATCGAGCTTTCAGGAAAGGATCCCGAAATGGGCCCCGAATGGGCCTCCTTGGGACCCCCCGAGGGTGAGGTGCACCTTCCTTCACCCTTCTGTGCATTTCCCCTCCCCCAATAGGCAACGCCCGCGCAACCCCCTGGGGCCGGCGGGAGGCCGTCTTCTTCGCCGCCAGCGCGGCCCACGCGCTGGGCGTGCCGTTCGTGGTGTTAAGCAGCGGCGCCGAGCGCGACTTCTTCCGCCACTACTTCCCGTGGGTCTTCGCTAAGGAGAAAATCTTTGCCAGCGTGGACACCGAACAGTAAGCTATTGAACTGTGGTTGTGTAAGCGATATTGTACAGACCATGTGGTGTAAGCCTTGCCGTGTAAGCAATGCTGTGCAAGCTACTTGGTGTACGTAATCGATGTGGTGTGAGTGATGCTGTGCAATGTCTGCGGTGCAAGCTACGTGGTGTAGGCTAGGTGGCGCAAGGTGTGTGTTGGAATATCTACGGTGTAGGCCGTGTGGTGGCAGCAACGGCTTTCTGTTGTGCACGCTATGTGGTGCACGTCGTGTGGTGAAGCATGTCTATCGCAATCTAAGTATGCAGTCGCTCAGCGCACGAGGCGCCAACGGGGCGCCTGTGGGTGCCCACGAATCACGCACGCGAGACCTCGGCACACCCACCCAGCGCACGAGGCGCACGCGAGGCGCCCCTGGGCGCGAGGCGAATCCTCGGCTGACCCACCCAGCGCACGAGGTGCCCACGAGGCGCCCACTTGCGCCCGCCAGCCAGGCACCAGGCGAACCCTCGACACACCTATCCAATCCCTTCTGGGACCATGGGGCGCCTGAGTGCAAGCACAGCTTGGGAAACTCGGCACATCTGAACCTTCGGAGGTCCGCGCGGATGTCTCTTGTATCTGCGTTGGACCCCTCTGGCGGCGCCTCTGGCGCCGCCTCTGGCCAGACCCGGGAAGGAACGTGGGGGTCCAGGCCAAGCCAGGCCCCTGGCTTTGGCCGAGCCCGAGCAGGGGGAGTCGGAAGTCTTTGCTGGCAGGGGTCAGAACTCGACAGGGGTGGGCCCTGGGAGGACAGATGTTGAGCGGATTCTGATCGGGGGAGCAGGCGGCTATTACATGTTCGCTCCGCGTGGACGCGCGTGCGACCCCAGCGCGGGCCTTCAACCAAGGCTGAGTGGCGCCAGCGGCCAGGGATCGGCTGACCTCAAGCCATCTGCGCCATCGGAGAGCTGCAACCGTTCAAGGTTAAACACGCCACTTGGTTTCAGAAACCAGCGCGGACTTCATCGCGACGTGGTCCCGCCGAACAGGAAGTTTAAACTTTCGGAGGTCCGCGCGCAGTTGTTGGGTCGGCGTTGGACCCACCCTCCCCGCACCCTCGGGGGGCGCCTTCAGCGCCAACCTGTGCGTGTTCCGCGCGCAGGGGAAGGGGTTTGCCGCCGCCGCCGTTGTTAGCTGGTGGTGGTGGTGCTGCTGCTGCTGTGCAGTGGCAGTAACGCTGTTGGTGCCAAATCGCGAAATCAGCACGGAGCTCCCACAGGTGTTTCAAAACGCCAATGTGGCCCAGGCCGACGTCTTGCCAAGCTATTTGACTACGTGCTCCCACAATCATTGTGGAAACCCTTGGGGGAGCACTTGGGGGAATACGCGAGAGGAGGAGTAGAGGGAGGAGAAAGATGAGGATGAGTGGGGAGAAGAAGAGGCCTCTTGGGGGCCTCTTGGGGCCTGAGGGATTCCCGGGGAGCTCCTGCCTCGTGGGGGCCTCTTGGATTTCGGGTGGTCTGGGGGGCCTCTCTAGGCCGTCATGGGGCAATCTTGGTGCGCTACAGGGTTGGCTTGGAGGTCTCTTGGTCCGTCTTAGGGCCCTCCTGGAGGCCTCCTGGGCCGTCGTGAGGCCATCTTGGCCCGTCTCAGGGGCTTCTTGGGCCGTCTTGGAGCCATCTTGGAGGCCTCTTGGACTTTCCGTCCTCGGCTTCCGAGAGCCAGAGCAATAGAGAAACGAACATCTCTCAACACTCATATGTCAATCGATAATTTTGGCTTCGTTGGGCTCTCCTAGAGGGCCCCTTGGAGCCCTCTAGGGGAGGTCTGGCAGCCTCGTAGGCCTTCTTGATGCCATCTTGAACCGACTAGGATCCATCCTCAGCCGTCTTGGAGGCATGTTGGGGCCACGTTGGTCTCTTGCTTGAATCTCTGACGTCTTGGAGGCGCCTTGGAACCGTCTTGGAGGCAATATTGGCCGTCTTGGGACCACATACTCCTGGCATGGAGATCAGCCCGTTTTTTTGTGTGACCAGAGGGCACAGACGAAGACCATTGGGAGCCTTTGAAGTATGTTTTTAACCGTCAAAACAATTAAACCATTCAGCACGCCATGCACCCCTGTATGTTTTGAAACGTCGAAACAATTAAACCATTCAGCACGCCGTACACCCCTGTGATAAAGAGGGGGTGGCGGATCAATGACGCCTGCGGCGAACCACCGCCGCCCCCTGCCTTTGGAAACGCCCTTGCGGCCAAGTGTTGGGCCGAAGTCTGACAAAGCTATTGGACTATGTGTCTTGGCGGCCTCTCCGGCAGTCTTGAGGCAACATTCTGCGTTTAAGCGCGCATTTGGACAGTCTCGGGACCCTCTTGTATTCAAAGGACCCGAGGACACTCCCACTTGTGCCTCGATGCGGTCAGGAGCGTGTCACTCTGCCGGTTCTGGCCCACCACGCTTTTTGCGGCGCAACACGCTAAGCACTCTCCAGTTCCGAATCATCAACGTCCCGAGTGTTTTCCAGCCTCCTGCCCCACGAAGGTCAGCGACACGCCATAAGCTTGCAATGCTGCGGTCAAGACGCTGAGCTGAGGACCATTTTGGACTCAGGAGGGGCGGTGGTTTTCGGCCCGCTCCTCACATGAGTCACATCTTGGACTGGGGAGTGATTATTCGTGGCCGAGGCTCGCCGTGGCCAGAAACGTCCCTCCGTTCCGTGTTCAGCATTTTTTTTGGCAGCACGATGGCTGTAGCTGGTCGCAGGGGCCGCCGCTGCGACACGCCAAGCACAATCTGCCCTCTGCATCTCTTTTGAGCTGCTCTGCCCTCAATCAAGGTCTGGCGCCTCTTCGCCCGGCTCTCGCCGCTGCCAGGCGGCGCCCCCGTGTCTCCGGCCGCGGTTGTCAGGGACAACGACGGGGGGGGTGGCTGGCCCAAGGGGGGGACCATCAACCCGCAACCGCCCATGCATCGTTAATCGGTGGATCAGGCGAGAGCATGGCTTAAGGCACGCGGATTGATTAGCGACGGTCCCCGCCTCAGTGTAAATTCGGCGCGCTCCGTCACCAAACGAGGTGGCATTGGCGCCATGTTTCAGACTGCACTTTCCCCGATCCGTGGATCTGACGCCCGCGCGCCAGATCCACGAATCCGTGATCCACCTTAGTGTGAGCCCGAAAGCAGTGCTTGGGCCTCCCACTGTCAGGTTTCGTCATCGAGGACTTGTCGCTGATCTGTCGGCGATGTATTGCCGATTCATGGTCATCGTTGCCCCCCTGATCCTACCCTACCCTTCCAGAGTGATAAAGATCCGATTGTCCTATCAGGGATGTAGTCCTGTCTGTGCTGCTTAAGACCACGACTGAGACTTACAATCTAAGAGTCTGGTGCTGTTTCTAGCTTCCCTGGACAGTCTGTGGAGGAGGGGTGTATCCAGCACCGACCCAAGAACCCAGACATCCTACGGTGTGCCTTTTCAATCCGCGAGCCCAAAGAGGTCACGACCTCTTCCCCGGCGGCAGTTCTCGCTCCGTATCCGTTTATGCCCGAAAGTCGAATAACAAGAAATTATATAAACATACACTTTCTGAGGTCAGTGCGGATTTCTTGGATCGGCGTTGGACCATAGTGGCGGCGATTCCGGCGCCACAGGGAACGGGGTCTAGCGACGACCCAAGAGATCCGCGCGGAGCTCCACATGTTGATGTTTGATGTTTATGAAGCTTTGTTCCCACCCAGTGCTTGCACTTTGGGCGTCTTACTTGTTGGTCTAAGGGAACTGTGCCTGGCTGTCGGGTCTGGCTGCTATGTTGTCGCCGTCGCCGCCCCCTCGCCGCCGTCTGTCGTCGCTGCTTCTGGGCCTGGCTGTCGGTCGCCGCGCGTGTTGTCGCCGTCGCCGCCCGTCGCCGCAATCCGTCGCCGCTGCTTCTGGGCCTGGCTGTCGGTCGCCGCGCTTTTTGTCGCCGTCGCTACCCGTCGCCGCCATGCGTCGCCGCTGCTTCTGGGTCTGGCTGTCGGTCGCCGCGCTTTTTGTCCCCGTCGCCGCCCTGTCGCCTCCCGTTTGCATTGCTTTGCGTTATTTTTCATTCCTTTGCATTGTTTTTCATTGCTTGGCATTCCTTTGTGCTAGTTTGAATTGTTTGCCTTGTTTTGCATTGCTTTTTCCGTGCCATTGTTTTGCACAACGCGTATTGCACAACATCTATCGCGTCACATATATTGCACAATCTATCTTGCTCCATAGACTTTGCACAACACCTATTGCTCCGCCTCGATCGCACAACACATAGCACAACGTAGGCGTACACCATTTGATTGCACAACATAGATTGCACAGCATACATCGCACCACATACATTGCACGCCACACGTTGCACACTGTTTATTGCAAAGCCTTGTTGGCACCACATATATTCCCCTTTTAGCTTAGGGTTATGGATTCTACCTTTCCCGCCGGGGAAGGTAGATTCTATAACCCCCTGAGACTGTACATTTTTCATGTGATTATGCCCCACCGTTCATCGAATATCACGCGCACTCGTTGGTCAAATGCCATCAATGTCCAAGAAGCCATTGCAACCACTGAGTCATCGTCCACGCGCGTCGTCGCGCGCGTATATCGAAATCTTTCAGCAACCTAAGTTTCGGAAGGATTTCAACATGGAGTTTCCCGACGTGTTCCTTCACACCAATGATCCAAACTAATCTGCGTGCGCGCTCTGGCGAGTTCGTATGAAAACCACAGTGTTTCAACATTTCCGTCAAATGAGACCACGCAGGCATCTCGCGCGCGCATGTCCAAATCATTGGGGCACGATCCGTGCCAAATGCTACCATGCTGGCCACGAGCGCGCGTCGGCCGCGCGCTCATGTCGAAATTCCAGCAAGCCCTTCATCAGCGACACTTGGGCATCATCACCGTCATCGGTGTGACCAGCATCGTCGCCGTCATTGGCCTTGCCGTCGGCATCGGCATGACCGTCAAAGTCAGCGCTACTATCATCCTTTCCGCCGTTGCCGACGTCACCATCATAGCGCGCCCGCCCGAGTCAGCGACCGGCACTCCGCGCGCCAGCGCGGCCAGCGAGACGCTCTGGGAAGTTTCGATCGGTCAGCGCCTCCGCGGCCGCGATTGCTGTGCTAATCTGGTTGGCCGCTTTGCGGTTGAGCTTGCGCGCGCCAATTCGGCCGCAGAGATCTGGTAGTCAGCATCGAGCAGTCATCGCAATTTCCGCCGCATGGGTTTTGCAAACCAAGTTGCGGGTCGGGGAATATTGCGCGAGCACTGGAGTTGACAACCCCAGTGCTCAACATATATTGTGACCACGTAATTCGCTCAACATATATTTTGACTACATGTTGCTACATCTATTGCACCACGTAGATCGGACCACACATATTGCACAACGTAAACTGCACATCCATCGCACCACATATACGGCACCACATAAAAAGTGGTTACATATATTCTCCTGACTAAAAGAGAACAGACTCTACTACCCCCCCCCGGCGTTATCCGCCCACCTTTCGGGTATGTAAATCATATGTGATTCTGACCACATGTCCATCCTAAATATGAATTTGCACTGTCCCAGGGGAACCGGTATCGACCCCCCTGAGGTTCCCTTGTAAAAAACGAAAACGCGGGGACATATTTTGTTCTAACATACGACTTTTTCGCGAATCCCTTGCAAAATTATGTGACGAAATGCACACGCGCGCGCCGTCGCGCGCGCATGCCGAAATCCTCGACAAAACCTTCGATGCCGGAAGGATTTCGCAATCGAGGTTCCCAAACACATACATAACCACAGGGATTTGCAACACTCATTTGCTAAAAAAGCTTACGCGCGAGCTCTTGCGGAATCTTAGGAGAACCATAGGTGTTTCAAGATTTTCACAAAAATGTTACCAAACGGGCTTCGCGCGCGCATGCCGAAATCTGTCGAACGCCCTTGCGCGTGTGCCGTCGCGAGAACCCTCTGCAAAAAATGGGACGAAGTGCAGACGCGCGCGTCGTCGCGCGCGTATGCCGAAATCCTTCAAAACCCATCGGCTTCGGAAGGAATTCAACATCGTGTGTCCAAAGACCTACAAAAACACAAGGTTTCGCAACACGGATTTTCAACAACAGCGTGCGCGCGCGCTCTTGCGTCGTCGTCGTCGCCGTCCTCCGTCCTCCCGCGTCGTCGTCGTCGTTGTCGCCTACGTCGTCCTCTGTCTTTCCTCGTGTTCGTCGTCGTCGTCCTTTTTGGTGTCGTGGTCGTTTCCGTCGTCGTTGTCGCCGTGGTCGTGCTTCCTCCTCCTCCCTCGTCGTCGTCGTCGTCGTCGTCCGTCGTCGGCGTCTCGTCGTCGTCCCTCCTATTTCGTCGCCGTCGTCGTCGTTGTCGTCGTCGTCGTCGTTGTCGTCGTCGTCTTCCCTCCTCCCTCGTCGTTGTCGCGTCGGCGTCGCCGTCCTTCCTCCTTCTTCGTCGTTCGCGTCGTCGCCGTCCTCCCTCCTCCCTCGTCGTTGTCGTCGTTGTCGTCGTTGTCGCCGTCGTCGTCCTCCCTCCTCCCTCGTCGTCGTCTTCGTTGGCGACGTCGTCGTCTTCGTCGTCGTCGTCGGCGTCGGCGTCGTCGTCGTCTTCGTCGTCGTCGACGTCGGCGTCGTCGTCGTCGCCGACGTCATCTTGTCATCGCGCACGTCCGAGTATCGTCGATATGCTCACCTTCATCATCGACTCACGGTGACGAGCATCGGCAGTGAGGATGTTATCATCGATGTCGTCATCGGTGGCGCCGCCGTCCCCCCCATCAGGAGTTTTGCCAAACAAGTTGCGGGTGGGAGGGTGGGATGTTTGCGCGAGCAGTGGAGGTGGTCAAGCGCGGTGCAGGGTAGTCGATTGCACCACATAGATTGCACAACATCTGATACTAGAAATACACTGTTTGGGGCCCACGCTGTCTAACATTTCCTCTGCGAAAGGCTGCCCCACCCAAAAGCGAGATCAAGGACAAATGCGCCGCCCCCCCCTTTCGGCCCCCCTCAGGCTGAGGCGGCGGCCTCGGCGTGCGCGTGGTGCCGGACGCCGTTCCCGCACGAGTGCGCCGGCGCGGGCGCGATGTGGCGGGAGCTCAGCGGGCGGTTCTCGACGGCCGCTCTCTGACGGACCCGATGCACGAAGCCGGCCTCCAGAGGCCAAAGATGGCGACAGTTTGGACGCGTCGGCTTTCCCTGGGATCTGTATCGCGAACAAAGATGCAACATCGTGAGACATTTCGCCAGAACTTTGGGTCGTGGCCCCCAAACGGAGTTGTGACCGCACGGTGTGCTGAGTCAGTGGCGATTCAGGGTGACCGTATGGTTTTGGGACGTGGGTTGTTCTCCGATGTCGTCTTGGGCGACTGGGGCCTCCAGGTTCCAGGGCCCCCACAACGCACGGTCCATTACCGCACCTTTTGGGACCCCTATTTAGACTCCAGTTTCTGCGGCAGTTGTTGAGCTGGATCGAGCTTTGAGACACGCCTGGTGTCAAAGAACTGCGACGCCAGGACCTCAGGGTTTTCGAGGCGCCAGATGTCTGGGTCTACAGATTCGCCGCCCTGATCGGCGCGGCGCTCAGCCTCCCCTGACGTTTCGGGGAACCCCAAAAGGTGCAATGACCACATCGTACGGTGAGTCGGTGGGTATTCGGGGTCACCGCACTTTTTGGGGACTTCGGTCGTCCTCCGGGGACGTCTCGGGTGTTTGGGCCTCCAGGCTCCCAGGACGTTGTGACGACGTACCGGGCGGTGATGTCGACTGGGATTCCGAGGTCACCGCACCCTGTTGGGGCTTACTGTTCAATGTGGGATCTCCGGAAGCTCCGACCCTTTCCCCAGGGCTAACTTTTCATCCTGAGCCGTTTCTTGACATTCTTGGGGCCTGTTTTTATTGACCGACCCCGTGAGGCCCACACAATTGTATATTTTTCGTCCTAGTGTGCAGTTCCAGAGAGGATGCATCTCCTGGTTCCTGGAAGTTTGAATTCAGCACCGCATTGGTGCTGTTATATCCGTGGTCGGAAACCAGCCAAATCCCGCACAATCCCGTCAATTCTGTTTAATAGCGCTCAATCTGTCCTAATCCGGTTTAATCTTGGGCTCATATTCGGCCAGTTCTCACGAAGATTTCTCAGACGTTTGCCTTCTAACGATGGTGGTCCACGGGTTCGGCGATTCACGACGCGAGGCGGACGTGGTTCCAATCAGATGCATGATCAGACAGCATTGAATCGGAAAATGGGATCGGTCTCGGAGCTCACGTTGGATCGATCAGCTTCGGCCCAGAGAGGCATTTCTGTCTTAATGCATTGAATGCGTCGCTGGGGGTCACAGGTTCGCCGCCCTGCTCGGCACGGCGCTCAACCTCACCAGCGGCCCGGCAGGCCCCGCGCCCGTGCACTGGCCGGCGTGGGCCCGGGGCGCTGGCCCGCCCGCCACGCGCCGCGTGGCCGCGCACGTGCGGTGCCTGGGCGTACACAACCCATGGGTATGGCCGCCACGGGTATGGAAAGAGTGGTGACGAAGACGCACAGCAGTTCCTGCTCGCAGTCGGCCTTTGAACAAGACTCGCTGTCGGCGTCGGCGCGGACGTTGCCCATTTGAGACAGAGGCGTTGCCTGCCAAACAGCAGCCACTGTCGGTTTTGGACAATGTTCTCTGCTGGGCATCGCACCCATTTTTGTCGTGTCCACTTCGGTATCGAAAAATGGTGACAAAGGTCTTTCGGGCCCATTTTTCAGGCTCTGGAGGCCCTCCACGGGCCTCGAGACTGTCCAAGAGCGGCTCATGAGCAAGCGGTGGTCCTGGGGGGAAGCTACTTATGTCCATGACTCGTTTTCCTCAGGACCTATTGCGTTTCTTGCCAAATTGTAGCCGTCTGCGCCGTCTTCACGGTCGCCTCTTTGCCGTGCGCCGCGGTAGGAGTTTGCTCGTGGCGCCGTGCTCCAAATTAGATGCTTGTTACAGGAACCTTCTTGGGACCCACCTAATTACCGGATCTCTTCGACTCTAATCTAGTTCGACTGAAAAGGTCGGTTCTAGCTCGATTCAAGTTCGACTGAAGTCGACGGACGTTCGGCGCAGCATCGACACATGAGTGGAGCGAGTGGCTCCAGGAAGGTCCCCAGAGCGAGAACCCGGATCTCCGACGTCTTGAACAAAAACAGGACGAAGGTTTTTCGCTGCTTTCGCCCTCCAGGGGCCCTCGCTGGACCCTGGGGCCGTCACACATCAATTCGGGATGAAAAGCCAGCCCAGGGGAAAGGACTCTGGTCCGAGAAGTCCGCGCGGACCTCTGACAGTTTACGTATGCGGTGTTCTGTTCCTCTATTCTAAGGGGCCACCTGCCTTCTAACCCTCACCTTCCAGGATAGCTGATTGACGAATGGCACCAGGACCTTCGAATTCAAATTCCGCTCGCGATTTGGAGCAGTCCAGTTTTTTTTTTTTTTTTTTTTTTTTTTTTTTTTTTTTTTTTTTTTTTTTTTTTTTTTTTTTTTTTTTTTTTTCTCTCTCTCTCTCTCTCTCTCTCTCTCTATATATATATATATATGGAGAGAAGTTTTTCCCACCCCCGAAATCGGTGGCTCATGTAGGGCTGTTCAGGGCCTTCGTCCGCAATGGGAGAGTTCTTCGTCTTCTTCTTCCTCTTCTTCTTAGAAACGGCGTGTTCTACCATGCTGGCGGAAAACCAGGGGGGGTCACTACCGGTTTGAACCCCCCCCCCCTCCGGAAAACCGGGGGGGGGTCATTACCTGTTCGAACCGCTCTCCCCCCCCCCCAGTCCATCATGAAAAGGGGGGGGGTCACTACTGGTTCGAACCCCCTCCCCCCTCGAAAACCGGAGGGGGGTCACTACTGGTTCGACCCCCCCCCCCCGTCCTCGAAAACCGGGCCGGGGGGGGGGTGCGGACAGTGGTGGGGACGGTGGTGGTGGGGATAGTGGTGAGGGGACAGCGGGACAGTGGTGGGGACAGTGGGACAGTGGTGGGGACGATAGTGGTGGGGACAGTGGTGAGGACAATGGTGGGAACGGTGCGGACAGCGGGACAGTGGTGGGGACGGTGGTGGTGGGGACAGTGGTGTGGGGACAGTGGGCATGTGGTGGAAACAGTGGGACAGTGGAGGGTACAGTGGTGATGGGGACAGTGGTGAAGGCGGTGGCGAGGACAGCGGTGGGACAATGGGACAGTGGTACAGTGGGGACAGTGGTGGGGACAGTGGGGACAGTGGTGGGAACAGTGGGACAGCTCAATGGGACAGCGGAGGAGTCAGTGGTACAGTGGGGACAGTGGGGGTAGTCGGGCAGTGGTTGGGGCTGTGAAGAAAGTGGGGAGAGTGGAACCGTGGTGGGAATGGGAACAGTGGTAGGGACAGTGGGGACAGTGCGACAGTGGTTGGGGCACTGGTGGGGACAGTAGGGACGGTGGTGGAACCAGTGGGGACAGTGGTGGTGAGGACAGTGGTGCTGGGAACAACAGTGGGCGATGTGGTGCGGACGGTGGTAGGGACCAGGAGTCGTTTCCTGGCGGTGAGAGGGGGGGGGGGGGTTCGAGCCGGTAGTGACCCCCTTCCGGTTTTCGAGGGGGGGTTCGAACCGGTAGTGACCCCCTCGGTTTTCGAGGGGGAGGGGGGGGGGGGTACGGGGGGGGGGGGGGGGGCGGGAGGGGGAGGGGAGGGGGGTTCAGCAGGGGGGGATTTTCGGGGGGGGGGGGGGGGTACCCTCGGGCTCCGGAGGAAGAGGGGGGGGGGGGGAATTTTCCACAGTAAAGCGGCGGTGGAACACGCTCTCTCTCTCTCTCTCTCTCTCTCTCTCTTTTCTTTTCTTAGCACCCTGGAGGGTCAGGCAATAAGGCCCTCCGCCGCCCTCTTGTCGATGTTCCTCAGAACGTCTGTAAGCCCAATGTGCGTTTGCCCCGCTCAGCTCCGCCGTTAGCACGCCGCTTGTCTCGGCCCTCATTACGCCGCCTGGCGTCGTGGACGAGCACGCGGTGCTTTTTTAACACAGGTTCTGAGGATTGTCACGGTCGGTCGAAGACGGCCGCTTGTGCGCGACGCCGAGGTGCGGCGACGCCTTGGGGCAGGGCGGCCTAGAGTGGGGCCTGCTGCCCTTTTCCGCGTACCGGCGGGTGGTTCGCAGGCCCTGCGGGAGGGGAAGCCGTACATTCATTCGCCAGTCGTTGAAAGGAGGGATATCTGGATTCCCAGATCCCAACCTGTTTTTGGCGCTTTCCTACTTCAAGAGTCGAGCGTTTTTCCCTCCCTCCTCTTCAAGGTGCGGGCGGAAGCGCAATCTACTCCCAACGCCTTCCTACTTCATGTTTCTACCTGCCCCTTCGGACCGACGTGCACTCGCCGAAAACAAGGCCCGCGCGGAATTCTCGGCTCGGCGCTGGCCCCCCTGCCCGCGCCTCTGGCGCCACCCCTGTCGCGCGGGGCGCGCCAGGGAGTGGGATCCAGCGCCGATCCAAGAAGTCCGCGCGGACTTTTGAAGTTTATGTAGTATTTCTCATTCAATTTTCTCGGGCTGAGAAGCCCCCAGTCTTTCCCACGAAATCCTCTCAGGAGTTGCCTCCCAACCTCTTCCTCACCGCCATGGGTCCAGGCCGCCCAACTATGGTAGGAGCAGATCCCAAAGGTCCAGCGGCTCGAGACAGCTGTCGGGCATTGAGAGAAAGCACACTCAGACAAATCGATGAGGGAATCCTGCGCTGGTTCGCTCGACGTTGGCATTCGCAGTGTGCTGGGGTAGTCCCCGGATACATGTTTGATGGCCCCTGAGCCCGAAACACGCGGCACTGGCCGAACTCATCGACAAATCCCGTAACGGCACATCATATCGACGGATATCTGGGCTATGGGCACCGCAAAGTCGCCAATGTGGCGGAGATGCTGTGCGATCTTTCGACCCCACTTGCTCCGGCCCCACCCAATAAACGGCGGCATGCGGCAGGGGCGACCGCGTGGACCTGATCAGCGCCTCGGCGCGGGGCTCGGACGCGCCCTTCGTGGGCGTGTGCAGGCGCGTGGTGCAGGAGCCGGCGGCGCTCACAATCCATTCCTCCGACGATGCGTTTTCTGTTGTATCCTCGCGTTTTTCCCAGATTATGGCCTCTGGGGCCCGTTATCGGGCCCCCGAGACGTCAGAGACGGATCCAGGTCAAAGAACCCACCCCTGGTGAGGGGTTGGCACCTTTGGGGCTGCGCATGGATGAAATCCTTACATTGTAGGATGCCTGGGAAGGAGCTGGCGCGAGGGGGCCGCCGTCTAAGAAGGCAGGAGGCTTCCTAGAAGGCCTGCCGTCTTCTAAGAACGCCTCTGGGAGCCTTCAGGGCCTTTCTAAGACGGTTCCTGCCTTCTCCGAAGCCCCCCGCCTTCTTAGAAGCCTTCCCTCCAGGCGCCACCCACGTGTGGGCGCCGCCAGAGGAGCTCGCCCGCCTGCTCCACGAGCACCTGCTGGCGTCGCCCGTGTCCGTGTTCTGGGACGACGACCCGGGGGCCCCTTGTGGGGGGGCACCATCTCCAGACCGACAGAAGGTCAAGATGCAGGTATCGATACCCTTCCCTCGTCGACACGGCTGGACTCGCCTCGAAGTCCTGGTCAGAGCGCACCCTGGGAGAGGTTCGCGGAGTCGCAGTATGGGTATCTTTTGGCTTCCCCCAAAGACCGCGAGCAGCCCTGGCCGGGTGCGCCACCGGCGAATACAGTCGGGCTGTAGCGATGGTGGTGTGGACTCGCAGCAGCGCAACAGGGTCTGCGTGCCGACGCCAATCGGTACGCAGAGGGTGGTGCGTGACGAAACGCGTCGGCACGCAGAGTGTGTGCGCGACGGCGGCTCGCATCGGCACCCAGAGGCTGTGAGCGACAACTGCTAAGAAGTCCAGCTGCGTCCGTCGATGGCGAGCACATCCACGGCCCTCTCCTGGTTTATCCTTACGCACGCCAACCCAGAGCACAGTTCATGGGCGCGGCCAGGGCCGCGCCGGCCGCACCGGTCCTGGCCACGCTCAACCCTCGTTCTTGCAGGGGCAACGTTCGGGGAAGATAGCCTCAGGGGGGATGCATCGACCCACAATCGCCCATTGATCGCCCAGAAGGCTCGGTAGCCCTCCCCCACCTTGGACTGGGCGGATTCGCAATCGGCGGCCCTCTTCTTCCCAGGGGGTGGGCGGCGCGAGAGCGCAAACTTATTCGCGCTTGGCGCAGCGCGAACATAGCAGCCCTGTTGCCCCTCGATGCGATTTCAGTTGCCCGCCAGAGCGCCTGCCCCTAAGCACATGCCCCTCGGCGGCACTTCGATGGAGGTCGCTCTCTGCCCCACAGGCGCAATCAACCTATCGCCGATCAATCTGCGAAGTATCACCAATTCCACCTCGATGTTCCCCCCCTGAGCTGACCCTCCCCTTACATAGGGGACGCCACGAGGACGCACAGTGATTCTAGACGTTTCGCGTAACCCTACCGGTTCATGGAGGGGCGCTGCGTGGGGAAGCAGGGAGAAGAGGACCGCCCCGAAAAGTGACGAGCAATAAGCTGACAAGCGGCAGCGAGGAAGGGAACTCGCGCGCTGGTAGCCCGGCAGATGGCCTGGCAGGGCCCCCCCGACCAGGGCAGGGCCGACACAACCCAAAGCCTCCAAGGCGCACGGCGTTGGGCTCCCGGGACAACGAGTGACCCCCTTCGCGGAAGACTTGCCGCGCCCGTATACCGTGGGATTGTCTTCCCCCTAGGACGGTCCCACTTCGGACTATGTCCTGCGGCTCTGGCCGCTCTCCCCCACCTCTTGCTTCACTGTCCAGTTCCGCGGCTATCGGCTGCATCTCCCCACTCCTCGTCGCCACTCGCTTACAGTTGTCCTGCGGCTATCGGCTGCTACCCCCCTTCCTCGTCGCCACTGCTTCTACACTCAAGACCTGCGGCTATCGGCTGCTAACCCCCCTTCCTCGGCGCCACAGTGGAGCGGCTATCGCTGGCCCCCCCGCGCACCGGCAAAACCAGTCGCGGCGGGCCCCATGGCCACTGGGTTCCCACTAAGCGGCCACACCTGTCGGCACAGCCAGCGACAGGGCGTGTTTCACCGAAGCGGTGGGCCGCGGGGGCAGACTGATGTTACCTCTTGGGGTTGAGGTACACCCCCCACCACCGCGATAATTCCTACGTTTTCGTGGGCCTTTAGCCCGTACGGCCGGCTGAAATAGTCCCGTCGTCGGTTTGGCCGCATTGACGGCCCGTGGAGCACCGAGCAGGCTCGCTGAAGGCGTTTTCTCCCCACTTCTCGGCACGCTCCACCCAGTCACTTTGCCCGTGCCGTGTGCGGGCCGGGACGCATCGGACGCTGGCCGCGGCCCCTCCATGTGCCCCATCCTTTGGAGTCGGCAACTCGCAGTGACTTCCACGTCGTCGCTCGCAGGAGCGACTACCACTTCTGACCCCCATACACATGGGCGTGTAGCAAGTGCGGTCGGCCGACATATGGACTCACGGTTTGGCCGCTTGCCGGCCCGCGGCGGACAGGGTCGACGGCCTACGGCACCGCCCTGCCGTCTGAGCTAGATGTTGGCTCTGGCCACAGTTTGTGCCTCCTGGGAGCAGAGGCGCCACACTGCCATGGTACCTGCGGCCCCCGCGGGCGCCCTCGCCTGTGGTCGGCTGAAATAACCCCACCCAGGCCTTCATTGGGAGAGCGGGCCGTGTGGCAGAGGCACTGGCTGAAGGCCTTCCTCCTGCGTCATCTGCCATTTGTGAAGTTTGCTCACTGGCCCGACCCCCCTCGGTCGCTTGTGTGGCCCGCGTACACGCTGGCGCTCACGCACTGGGTGACTAGTGAGTGGATCCGGCACGCTTCCCCCTAGGTTGTGCTGCCCTTCTCTCGTCGCGCCTCCCTGGCAGTCGGTACTCCACCTGCGGGTCCGACTTGTTTCCGCCTGCACCCGGTTGTCCCCCTCTGCTGGCACACGCTCAGCGGTTTTGGGGTCCGCGTGATGGCAGCATCGCTTCGGCTGTCCCCATCGCGGTTGTCCTCTTCTGCTGGCACACGCTCAGCGGGTGGGTTCGCGTTCGGTTCGCCCCCACCCGCGGGCTGAACCGTGGCCGCCTCTTTCTAATTATCTGCAGGTGCACTCTGCGCGGTCTCGCGCCAATTATCTGTCGCTGTGCCCCAGCCTCTGTCATACCGCCCTCTGGACTTCTCCTTGCGGGCCGCGAATCAAAAAAGTAGCCCTACCGGCCCATCCAGAAACGGTGCCCAGACGAGTTACCCTGATCAGGGATGTGGAGGGGAATGCAGTTGAACGAAGGGCTAGGAACGATGTCCTTCGGATTTCTTTTGAGAGCTTCTTGGGGTCCTCTCGGGGAGTCTCGGGGGTCTCTTGGCAGCCCAGTGGGCCTCTTCAGGCGTCTTGAGTGCCTCGGGGTGGCCTCATGCAGCCTCTTTGGGGCATCTTGGGGGCAAATTGGAGGCCCCTTGGGGGCCTCTGGTCTCCTCTTGGGGCCGTCTTGGGGCACTCATGGGCGCCTCGGGGGCCATCTTGGGGCCGTCTAGGAGGACATCGACCACAGGGGGGAGCCCTTAATTAGGGCCCCTCCCCCCAAGAGTGCCAACATTCCAAACCGTATGACATCAATGATTGGCCGCTTGGGGAGCCTCTCGGGCGTCTTTGGGGTCTCTTGGGAGCCTCTTGGGGGCATCGTGGGGGCCTCTTTGGTGCTTCTTGGGGCCTCTTGGGCACCTCTGGACATCTTCACGGGCCGTACTCAATTAAAGTCCCTCCCCTCAGGAGGCCAACGTGCTGTCAAAACTTGGTGCAATCAATGATGTTGGCCTTTTCGCCGAGCCCCCCCCTCCAGACCCGGGGGTAGAGGGTAGGGGAAGGGTCAAGACCCCGTCCCCGCCCGTAAGCCGTCTCGCTCAATCCCACCCGCCCTCCCGACACATACGTAGCACCCGAGTCTGGCCCGAGCCTGAGCATATTCAGCACTCGTCTTTGGATTGGCAGCTACTGGGGGCCAATCCGCCGCCGCCGCCGCCGCCGCCGCCGCCGCCGCCGCTGCCCACCGCCGCCGCCTGCCGCCGCCGCCGCCGCCGCCGCCGCCGCCGTCAGCCGCCGCCGCCGCCGCCGCCGCCGCCGCCGCCCGCCGCTGCCAAACCGCCGCCGCAGCCGCTGCCGCCACCGCCACCGCCGCCGCCGCCGCCGCCGCCGCCGCCGCCGCCGCAGCCGCCGCCGCCGCAGCTGCCGCAGCCGCCGCAGACGCCGCAGACGCCTCCGCCGCCGCCAAGTGTACTATTTGTTGTTCTTTGACAAGGATGGTGGGGGGGGGCGCATCGGGTTGGCTGCGCATGTTCCGAATTTGGAGGCAGAGTGTGGTTTGCATTGTTTTTTGTACAAGGAATGCAGAGGGGGTGTCGTCATGGACCCTGGTTGGCCCCCAGTCGCCTGGGGGGGGGGTGTTTACTAATAGAGAACAGTGATCAAGACACACCCTAGGTAGCAAGCCGCGTAGCCCACTCCCACCCGCCCTCCCAACACAGAAGTAACACCCGAACCTGAGCATGATCAGCGGTCGTCGTTGGATGGACAGCTAGTGAAACCGACACCATGTGCGCGACGCTGGGGCGAGGTGCGCCACGCGTGCCAGGTGCGCCACGCGTGCCAGGCGTGCCACGCGCGCCAGGCACCCCTGGGGCCCGAGCGTGCCAGGCACGCCTGGTGCGCCAGATGCGCTACGTGCTCCGCGTGCGCCAGATGTGCCGCACCCTCCTGCCGCGGCAGGTGCGCCACGTTCGGGCCACGTGCAGAGTGTGGCAGGCGCGCTTGCGCACGTGACAGCACACATCGGGAACCATGCCCACCCCCATTGTCCTTGTCGAGAACCAGTGCCCGTCGTTGTGTCTGGTGGGCCTGCGCACAGCAAACTATACGCCACCACTCCCGCCGTCCCTGTCGAAAACCACTTGACAGTGATCGCGGGGTGGCCGCGCATGATCCAGATTTAGCCGCGATGTGCATTTTGTTTTGTTTTTTGTTCTTAGGGATGGTAGCCCCGCGCGCAGCAGGCAATATGCTGACACCCCCGCTGTCCCGGTCAAAAACAATACAAAGTGCTCGCGAGTCTCACGAAGATGACTCAAGACTTTGTCCCAAAGTGTACTTTGTTTTGTTTTTGTGTGTATAGTTTTTGACATGGATGGTGGGGGGGAGCACGGGGTCCTCATGGTTCCTGATTGGCTGCCAGTCGCTTGGGGGGGGGTGTATATAAACAAGCAACAATGATGAACCCCTCCCTGAAAGGGGAGAGGGAATACGGAAGAGGACACTCGCATAACCACTCACGCCCTAAAAGGCTGGCGGGATTCGCGGTTCGCAGTTCTCGGTTCCTCATCCTCATCTTCTCTTCTCTCTTGGGAGGGCGGCGCGCTCGAGTCTTTTCGGCTTTCGCGCTTCGCGCAGCGCGAACATAGCTGCCCTTGCTAATTCAGACATCCGCCGATCTGATTTTTTCAATGCGCGGCCCCAGAGGTTTCGACCCCGTCCAAAGGGCCACTGTTTTCGCCCCGGATTTGTTTGTGGTGGACCCCAGGCCCGAAAACGGCCCCCGACGGTCGATATTTATAAAGAACCACAGGTTGAACAAACATATCGCCGGAGATCAAGGAACGTTCCAGCCTTGGCCCACCAGCCCAGCAGCTCGCAGTCAGAGCCCCCCTCTCGCAGGCCCGGGATCCAGGCGCCGACCTGGCGCGGCTCGCGGCCGCGGAAGTGGTGGTATGCGGCCCCAGCTCGGAGAAGGAAGGCCGCACAAGTTGGAACCGGCGAGGGGGCTGAGAGTGCCCAGCATTGGATCTCCTGACATGCTCGCGTCGTGGACAAGCATGAGGGAAGCGTTTTGCCAATTTTCGGCCTGCTGGGCCCCCCTCCAGGACTGCCCAAAACGACTCGGGATGAAAGACCGGTCCAGGGGAATGGATTGAGGCCTCGGGGGGTCGACGATGTTACAAACTCATGACGAAGGGGATTTGCGTATTGTCTGAGGTGGCCCTGCATTGGTTCTGGCCAGCAAAAAGGGGCCCCCTCGTCGTCACGGCTGGAGGCAGCTCGAAAAGCTTGTCAGTTTCGATCCCAGAGGCCATCCTAGAGGGATCGGTGGACCGATTTGAAGCAGATTTGCACTCGTCTCCTCCTTTTTGACCGTTTTTTCAGGCCTATCAAGAGCAGGCCCCCCTGGCCGCTTCCAAGGCACGAGCCGAAGATTTCGGAGGCCCGCGCTGGTGCCCCCTCCCTGCCGCGCCGGAGGCGCGCGCTCAGGGGGGCCAGCGCCGATCCGAGATGCCTGGGCGGACCTCCGAATCATGCTCATGCCGACCTTTCTTCTTCTGCCAGCAGCACATTCTGCCTCTGGGGCGCGCTGGCGGCCGCGGCCGCGGGCGCGCGCGCCCACGTTGTCGCGGGCCCACTGTTGGCGGGCGGGTCGCGCCCGCCGATCGGCGGCGTGCGCTGGGTGGCCGCGCCGAGGCTGGCGAGAGGCGGCGGATCCCTCAGCGTCGTCGCCGTCGCCGCTGTGGTGGTGGTGGTCGTCGTCTTCGCCGTCGCGCCGCCGCCGCCACCGCCACCGTCGCCGTCGTCATTGTCGCCGCCGCGCCCCTCGTCCTCGTCGTCGTCCTCGTTCCGAGGCTGGGAGACCGATCTTCCTGGACCTCGGGGTCCGACGGATGTGGACATACTCGGGCCCCCTCGGGGTCAACATGTATCCACATCTTCCTCTGCACTGGTTCTCAGGTCACTGCATCCCCTGGCGGTGGATCTGTGCTCCAAGTTGTTCAATCAGCATCCCCCCGTGCGCACCGAACTCACCATCGAGCGCAATTCACCCCCCACGCCCCGAGAGGGAAGCACGCCCTCACCCCCCACGCGATCCCAACCCCCCAACCCCCCACGCTTACTGAACTGGACGAGGAAACTACATAGACATACACTTTGGGAGCTCCGAGCGGATTTCTTGGATCCGCGCCTCCAGCGCCGATCCCAGGGATCCGCGCGAAACTCCGAACGTTCATGTGTATGCATTTGTTTTGTTCTCCTTGGGCATTGAACAATTCAGAGTATGCCCCCCCCTCCCAGTCTTGCTTATGGTGGTCGTCGTCGCGGTGGCGGTGGTCGTCGTCACTTCCCTCCTGCATTGCTCTTCTCGAGGCACGAACTCCACGGCGCTGCTGCACTTCATCCAGCGGAACTGAGTCCTGGGAGCCCGCGGGCATCGCGGAGCCTTCCAGCCGCGTCCTTCCTCTCTCCCTCCTCGTCCTCTCGTTTTGGGGACCTCCCTGGGGGATTTCGGTTCGGTTCGATTCGGTGCGATTCGATTCGGTTCGTCCCAGCTGGGGCCGAGATTCGGATTCGATTCGGTTCGGTTCATCGGAATCGGCTGGGTCCACCCAGAGCCTGGCGCGGCGATCCGATTTCGATTCGATTCGGGACGATTCGTTGGCAAAGTCCTCTGCTTGGTGCCTTCGCTCGAAGAAGCACAGCTCTATTCTCGACAAGCTTTCGATGGCCCGCGCGGGTTTCTTGGATCTTCGTTGGTCTCCTCCGTTAGATAATCGTTTGGGGGACCTCCCTGTGGACCACCTAACGGATCATTTCGGTTTCGAATCTAGTTCGGCATTATTTCAATTGCAGCTCGACTCAATTCTACTCAAGTTCGACTCAAGTCGACCTGGGAAGGTAGGAGGCTCCGTGGTCGAACACGCACATTCTCTTCCCTTCCAAGGGGAGACGCATCACTGATCACATATTTTCAGAGGTCCGCGCGGATTCCTGGGGTTGGCCCTGGGCTATGCTGTGTCGCGCTGGGCGCTGGGCTAGGGGTACACGCTGAGGCGGTTTATATGCATTTCTTTGAGCCCTTCCGTGGCCTTTGCTGGGATCTTTTCGGGTCCTCCTAGGGCCGCGCGGACGCCCTCCAGAGACGATGCCGAGACGAAGGCTCCATTCCTGAGTAATGAGTTATGAGGTATTCGGCGGGAGCCTTCTCATCGTCGGGAGGCTGGTTTGCTGCTCCCTCGGGTTCAGGAGCATTTCGGGGGGGGAGTCAGTGAAGGTGTTCTGTTGACTGCACTCTACCCGCATGGTGTCGCGCAATGAGCCTCCGATGGAAGGCTTTTACCAACGGTTGCCCAGGCGGATGCCAACGCCATATTAACGAAACATTATTTGAACCAGAACCCCAGACATTGACCCAATGAAACCAAACGAAACAAGTGGCTCGCGTGCCATGGCTCTCGCACGTCAAGGAGAGGGAGGAGGAGGAGGAGGAGGAGGAGGAGGAGGAGGAGAAGGAGGAGGAGGAGGAGGAGGAGGAGGAGGAGGAGGAGGAGGCGGCGAAGGCGGAGACGGAGGCCAGGAGGAGCAGGCGGTGGAGGGGGAGGAGGAGGAGGAGGAGGAGGATGAGGAGAAGGAGGATGAGGAGGAAGAGGAGGAAGAGGAGGAAGAGGAGTACGAATACTAAGGTTTACAGAAGACTGCTCATATTAGTAAAACCAATAATCATACTGATACTTATGCAAATGCTAACACTAGCATCATAATAATTAACATCGAACACGCATCGCACTACTAAGCATACCAATGCGACTCATATTACTAAACAGACAATAAGAAGGAACATGATACTAATCATACGACTATTACTACGAAACGTCATGCAAACCGTATTATTAATACGACTCATAATCCGACGTTAATCATACGAATGAGAGGATGATGATGATGATGATGATGATGATGATGATGATGATGATGATGATGCTGCTGCTGCTGCTGCTGCTGCTGCTGATGATGATGATGATGATGATGATGATGATGATGATGATGATGATGATGATGATGATGATGATGATGAGATGAGGAGAGGAGGAGGAGGAGGAGGAGGAGGAGGAGGAGGAGGAGGGGGAGGGGAGATGGAGGACGAGAAAGAGGAGACGGAGGAGGAAAAGGGGGAGGCTAATGAGGGGCCGAAAGCGGGGGAAGCGAACGACGACTGAGAGAAGTGAAGGACACGGGAGAACGAGGACGAGGAGACAGAGAATGGAGGAGGGAGGACGAGGAGGGAGGATGGCGAGGAGGACAGGGGAGCGACAGGAGCGGGAAACGGAGTCAGTAGACAAGGATGGGGAATATAGGGAGGGAGCAGCAGGGGTCTGCAGGGCGGGACGGCGGAGCCCGCTGGCTAGCGGGCGGGGAGGAGCTGGGCTGGCCGTGGGGGGGGGGGGGAAGGGGCGCGGCGCCTGTGCTGTGCCGGAACGGAAACGTCGGGGCGCAGGAAGCGTGCTGGCTGGTGGGCGGGGAGGAGCTTGGCTGGCTGCGGGGGGGGGGGGGGCGAGGGCGCAGCGCCACTGGTGTGCCGAAATACAGCGGTCTGGGCGGAAGGGGCGCGCTGGCTGGTTGGCGAAGAGGGGGTTGCTTACCTGTGGGGGGGGGGGAAGGGAGGGGAGGGCGCCGCGCCGGTGGCGTGACGAAGTAAAAATGTCGGGGCGGAGGTGCGCGCTGGCTGGCGGGCGAGGGTGTGGGCTGGCCGTGGGGGCGCAAGGGGGGGCGCGGTGCCACTGTCGCGCCGAACTCAATCTAAAAGGGTGGGGCAGAGGGGGCGCGTTGGCTGGTAGGCGGGGAAGGAGCTGAGCTGGCCGTGGGGGTGCAAGTGGCGCGGTGCTCGCGCCGTGCTGAAATATTGTTACCGGTGGGGGCGCAGGGGGGGCGTGGGCTGGCGCGGAGGACGTGGGCTGGGGTGGAGGGGGCGCGTTTGCTGGTGGGAGGAGGAGGAGAGGTTGGCTGACTACGGGGGGAGGGGGGAGGGCGCCGTGCTGGTGCAGTGCCGAAGATAGTGGTCGGGGCGGAGGGGGCGTTTTGGTTGGCGGTAAAGGAGAAGGAGGTGGGCTGGCCGCGGGGGGGGGTGGCGGGCGCGGTGCTGGTGCCGCGCTGAAATAAAAGGGTCGGGGCGGAGGGGGCGCGCGGGCTTGTGGGGGAGAGGAGGTGGGCTGGTTGCAGAAATGGGGTGGGCGGGCGCGGCGCCAAAACCGTGCCAGGGCATGTTGGCTGGCGGGGGGGGGGAGGTGGGCTGGCTGCTGCGGAGGGGGGCGGAAGGGGACTGGCGCCGTGCAGGAAGGAAGTGGCCGTGGCGGAGACAGCTCGCTGGCGGCGGCGGAGGAGGGCGCGTTGGCTGGTGGGGGAAGAGGGAAGAGGGGAGCGGGCGAGGCGCCGGTGCCGTGCCAAAAAAAATCGGTCCAGGCGGGGAGGGCGTTCTGGCGGATGGGGGAGGGGAAAGTGAACTGGCCGCGGAGGGTGGAAGGGGACGGGCGCGGCGCCTGTGCCGTTCAGGAATAAAGGGGTCGGGGCGGAGGTGGCGCGCTGGCTGGCGAGGAGGGAGGGAGATGCGGGCTAGCTGCGGAAGGGGGCCGAGGGCGGACTGGCGCCGTGCCGGAATACAAGGGTCAGGGCGGAAGGGGTGCGCGGGCGGCTTGAAAAAGTGGGTGGGGGAACGACCAGGTCCGTTCCGAAATGTAGAGGTCGGAGTTTTCGAAACATTGCGCAAGATAATGAACTCGTCGGGGCGGAAAAGGGCGCAGGGATGGGGGGAGACCGGTGCCGTGTCGAAATGAAAGAGTCGAGGCGGATGGGCTGGTTGCGGGGAGGGTATAAGGGGGGGGCGCGTTGGCTGGTGGGCTGGCTGAGCTGGCCAGGGCGGAGGGGGCCGTGCCGAAAGAAAAAAGTCGGGGCGGATGGGGCGCGCTGTCAGGTGGGGGAGGGGGGGTGCGCCGTGCAAAAATGAACTGGTCGGGTCGTGGGAAGTGCTCTGGCTGGTGGGACAAGTGCCGTGCCGAAATCAAGCGGTCGGGGCGGAGGGGGCGCGCTGGCTGGTGGGCTTGGTGCCGTGCCGAAATAAAGCGGTCGGGGCGGAGGACCCGCGCTGGTGTCGAGGCGGAGGGGCTGTCTGCGCTGGGGGTGCAATGGGGGGGGTAGAGCGGTCGGGGCGGAGAGGGACGCGCTTGGGTCGAGGCGGAGGGCTGGCTGCGCGGGGGGTGCGGGGGTGGGGGCGCTGGCTGGTGGGCTGGCTGAGCTGGCTGGTGGGTGAGGGGCGTTGGCTGGTGGGGCCAGTGCCGTGCCGAAATGAAGCGGTCGGGGCGGAGAGGGCACGGTGGCTGGCGGGACTGGTGCCGTGCCGAAATCAAGCGGTCGGGGCGGGGGGGGCGTGCTGACTGGTAGGACCAGTGCCGTGCCGAAATGAAGCGGTCGGGGCGGACGGGGCGCGCTGGCTGGTCGGTTCCGTGCCGCTAAAGGTCGGGGTGGAGCGGGCGCGTTGGCTGGCGGGACTGGTGCAGAGGGGGCGCGCTGGCTGGCGGGTTGGCTGCGCTGGCTGGTGGTTGAGGGATGCGGAGGGCCGAGGGGCTGCTTCGGCATGGCTGCTTTGGAGAGTGGATCCGGATTGGGCGCGCTGGGAGGTGGGGGCCTAGGGGCTGCATCGACCGGTGCCGTGCTGAAGTAAGATCGTCGAAGCTCTAGACACCTTGCGCAAGAAAATAATGTAAACCATATCCGGCGATACCTCGGTATCCGGATGAAACTTTTGGGAAATACCATGGTTTGGCAAACGTCAGGCCAGGAGTTGGTTTCGTAATCGATTTCGTTGACCAGGTAGGAGTCCAACGCATCATTCACACCGCTCATTTGAATCGGTAGAATGTATCGCGGGGCTGCGTTTTCAGATTGTCACCAGCAGAAGCAATTACTTATATCGCCAACTCGAAGGCCACGATATGTCGCTCACGGTTGTGTCATTTCCATCAATGGTCAGCGTGATGACCTACATGGCCCGACATATCGTGGGATGTATGTAACAAGGCTCGAATACAATTGACGTCAGTATCGGGCAATGGGCTTGTGAATGTGGCGATATGTGTATATATATATATAGATATACACACCCATCGGATGCACATTCGGCTATGCTTGTTCGCATATACAAACATGTGCACTCGCCAGTACAACTATATATACATATATATATACACACATCGGTAGAGAGAGAGAAAGAAACAATGAGAGAGAGAGAAAGAGACGCAGAGAGAGAGGGGAAGAGAGAGAGAGAAAGAGAAAGAGCGGATTGATCTCACTATCGATGTATATAGGGGTACACGTTTTTGGTATGGGCGAGTTTGACATGCGCTGGCTATATTACCAGAGGAACCGTCACACTGCATGATGTGACGTAATTGTACTACGCGGGC